GAATCTTAGTGATAAGTCATGAAGAATATCATTTGGACCAGTTACTGAATCTCAGCGATAAGTCTTGAAGCACACCATTTGGACCAATCACTGAATCTTAGCGATACGTCTTGAAGCATATCATTTGGACCAATCATTGAATCTTAGCGATAAGTCTTGAAGCATATCATTTGGACCAATCACTGAATCTTAGCGATACGTCTTGAAGCATATCATTTGGACTATATCCTGCACCACACACACATAAATCAACCTTTCATTTGGACCAATCATTTAAACCAGTTACAGAATCTTAGCGATAAGTCTAGAAGAATATCATTTGGACTCATAACTGAATCTTAGCGATACGTCTTGAAGCATATCATTTGGACTATATCCTGCACCACACACACATAAATCAACCTTTCATTTGGACCAATCATTTAAACCAGTTACAGAATCTTAGCGATAAGTCTAGAAGAATATCATTTGGACTCATAACTGAATCTTTCAGCCAATCATTTAAACCAGTTATACGCCTTTGAAGCATATCATTTTTTGACCAGTTACTGAATCTCAGTGATAACTCTAAAAGGATATCATTTGGACCAGTCACTAAACCTTAGCGATACATCATGAAGCATATCATTTGGACCAGTCAATGAATCTTAGTGATAAGTCATGAAGAATATCATTTGGACCAGTTACTGAATCTCAGCGATAAGTCTTGAAGCACACCATTTGGACCAATCACTGAATCTTAGCGATACGTCTTGAAGCATATCATTTGGACCAATCATTGAATCTTAGCGATAAGTCTTGAAGCATATCATTTGGACCAATCACTGAATCTTAGTGATACGTCTTGAAGCATATCATTTGGACCAATCATTGAATCTTAGCGATAAGTCTTGAAGCATATCATTTGGACCAATCACTGAATCTTAGCGATAAGTCTAGAAGCATATCATTAGGACCAATCACTGAATCTTAGCGATAAGTTTTGAAGCATATCATTTGGACCAATCACTGAATCTTAGCGATAAGTCTTGAAGCATATCATTTGGACCAGCCAATGAATCTTAGCAATAAGTCACGAAGCATATCATTTGGACCAGTCAATGAATCTCAGTGATAACTCTAAAAGGATATCATTTGGACCAGTCACTAAACCTTAGCGATACATCATGAAGCATATCATTTGGACCAGTCAATGAATCTTAGTGATAAGTCATGAAGCATATCATTTGGACTAGTTACTGAATCTTAGCGATATGTCTTGAAGCATATAATTTGGACTAGTCACTGAATCTCAGTGATAAGTCTTGAAGCATATCATTTGGACCAGTCACTGAATCTTAGCGATAAGTCATGAAGAATATCATTTGGACCAATCACTGAATCTTAGCGATAAGCCTTGAAAGCATATCATTTGGACCAGTCCCTGAATCTTAGCGATAAGTCTAGAAGCAGATCATTTGGACCAGTCACTGAATCTTAGCGATAAGTCTAAAAGGATATTTATGACAGTACTAACTTGAGGAATGGGTGGACAATGGTTTTGTCATTGACAATCAGTTATATTTTTTCCCTGATGTCGAATTAGCAAAAGACGTGAATATTGTTGACCCATAGATCAACAAACTGCTGTGCATTTTGATTAACACATTTAAAAAGTAAGTACTCTTTCATCAACACAAAGAAACGTTGTGTGATGTCTATTGCGTAACACAAATAGTTACATGATAATATGTATCCTATGATAATAACATTTTTGCTATTTTGATTTACAGATTTTTTCAAGTCTGCCATATCTGTGAGGTACCATGACCGAAGACTGATCTCCCTGAACCCAGCGGAGAGTACCACCGCAGACAAACAGTGACATCTACATGTCACAGGTGAGGACTGCCGTGTCTGCTCATCTTGTTTCAACACGATGAGGAGAGTTATCAGTGGGACAAGTTGTCTATCATAGGTACACAGTATGACAACACTTTGACGATTTAACACCATATTCAACAATTGAAACTGCTAGTAACTGAAGCATTGAAAGGTAGAATTACCCTGGCAGGGCTTCTGATCCTGCCATGTCAGTGACAGACAGGGCCAAAAGAAGGTCACATAGACCCGAGTAGTATCTGGTGACTTTTGACCCACAACTATGACCTACTCAAGTTTGGTGTGTCCAACACTCATCTTACAACAGGGGTACACTGATTAGCTTGTTATCAGTATGATATATGACACTGTTATTCAACCTCCATACAATCACTATCAGTGTCTGATATATCTCATATCGCTCCACCCTATCGTTTTCCTTACACAATGCATAAAACATAAGACTGGATAACAGCTTTAGTTGATACAGAGTATAGATATCATCTTGATTATTTTATCACTACTTATGGATGCTAGACATACTAGATATGATAATCATAACATTGTCATTTTGTAACAGCTTCTGTAGATCATCCATAATACATTGAAATCACTTGGCGAACACTTGATAGGCAAATGTAGACCCCTTTGGAATATGTATGAGAACAGGTCAGAACACTACTGTTTGTCAAAATATCTATCAAAATTTGTTCAGGTGGTCAGGCTTGGTACCTTGGTTGATTGTGTGTAAATTGATTCACATGTCAACAATGTGGGGAGTTGATCACAACGTTAACCACAGGTATGGCTCATCCCAAATATTTACCAGCCCCAGTGATATTGGTTACTTGGCAAAGCCTGGCATCATTGTTCAGATAAGACAAAATATAAGTATGCTTCTCTTGAGGATAATATGGTCTGATGTATGCATCTTTGTAGCAGTGTCACCCGAGCCAGTAGGCGAGGGATAACACTGCTACAAAGAGGCGTACATCAGACCGTATTACCCGAGGGGGAAGCATACAACATATTTATCTTACCGCCATGTTAAATGTACAAAATATCATTATATTATATTTTGAAGATCAATAAGCTCACTACCGACTATATGACATGTAAACAAAATGGCATCTGCCTCTTGACTGGATTTTTAAAATCAGTGAAACACATTCTGACAAGATTAAAACTGCTATAAAAATGGTTAATTATGTTTAAGTTGAGTGTGCAAACGATGCAATGTATGAAATAGCTTAAATAAAGCAGTGAAATTCAGTAAAATGTATGTGTACATAATGAACTCAAAAACAGCTAATTGAACGGTTTTCGCACTTTTGCACTGCATGCGTCATATTATGACGTCATACGATTGTTAGCAATACTGCTTCTCGGCGGAGAGTTTGGCGGTTACCATGGCAGCGGGTAATATTTTTTCAAGTTGTCACCCTCCTGGGAGGGGTGACACGGAAACTTGTTAAAGCGGGACCTACTTGTTGATATAGTTAATGTTATTGGTTATAAATGTTTAATGTGAAAGTCTATGAAGCGAAAGTCCACTTCCTAAGTCATGAGTGTGGTCATGATACTTTGGAATGATGTCAAATGTTTTCACATATGTTTTCCTCGTTGCTTTGCTATTTACATTCACTGAGCCTCACATACGCCATGTGATTTTCTGACAGCAGATATGAACACCAAGCAGACTATCTGTCCCATAGGCTTTTCACAGCACTACAACATTTTTAATACTATTACCTTGTAGTGGTGAGTTATGTCTCAGTGATTTCTGTTTCAATCTGATATATTTCTCAAATTCAATCAAAAACGTATCTCTTGCAGCTTGATTCTCAGTAAGTTGTGACTGGTGTGGTAGCAGGACAGTGCTTTAGGATAAACAAGATGCATCTCAGAAATATCAGAAAAAATGTGACTAAAGTATGCCAAGCAGAAATATATCTTGAGCAGAAACATATGATGGTAAGTTATGACATCAAATATCAGTATAAGTTTATGACTTATACTGCTTGACAAAGATACAAGAATCTGTATTGAAACATTGCATCACCTGAATTAAGAGTTTGTTCATCAATAAAGTTTGTCCTTATCAGCTATAACAATATTATCCCAACAGTGCTTCAACTATTACATCATCCTGCCATACAGCTGGATATTGATATGCATTCTCCCAACAATGCTGCAGTTGTTACAACATTATCCAACATTGTTGCAACTATGACAACATTATCCCAACCTTGTTGCAACTATTACAATATTATCCCAACACTGCTGCAGCTATCACCATATTATCCAAATGGTGATGAAAGTATTACAATATCATCCAGACAATATCGCAACTATTACAATATAATCCATTGCAACTATTACAATATTATCCCAACACTGCTGCAACTATCACCATATTATCCAAATGGCTGATGAAAGTATTACAATATAGATTAAAACAGTATCAATAACTTTGTCGGCACTTGTGCACATTGTTGCAACTATGACTATTATCACCTGGCAACTGTCCCTTTCTCTGCAACTCCTCCCTATTACAGTGTTGCAAATAGTGAACTGTGTCAATATTTTAATGATAGTTTGTTAAACAACTTTTTTAATTTTAGGACATAAATTCTGCAAACAAATCACAGAGTTGGTCTGATGTTTTGATTATGATCAGCGTTTCATTGAGTATTAAATGCTTATTAGTTTTTGAGTTAGACTGCAATTCATCGGTCCGTTTTTGAGCCAAACGCACTATATAACAAGATTATTCCAACACTGCGGCAACTATTACCATATTATCCAATATTACAATATTATCTGGACTTTGTTGCAACTATTACTACATTATCCTGCCATACAGCTGGATAATGTATGCATGAGATATTGAATAATATCTTAAGTGGCATTTAGAAGCTGGTATGATGAAGAGGAACACTTGCAATAAAGAAGTTGTCTAGCCACAAAAAGTGTTCCTCTTCGAGATATTGAACCTTTGTAAATCGATGGTCAGTACAAGCTCATACAGTTTGAACTTCATTCTGCAAAGGTTCATACTTCAGTGAACTCACAAAAAGTATAAGTCAGTTCATCAATATTTTCTCTGTTGCTATAACATGTATAAACTATGAACTAACCAACTTCAGCCTCGATGAGGGAGATGAGAATACGGTTGTTCATGCTCCTTGCCACTTCTACTGGGGTCAGTCCAGACATGTCCACAAATTCAAGGTCAGCATTATTAATCAGTAAAATACGAACTGCATCTTCCTTGTTGTCACAGATGGCACTGTGCAGGGGGGACTGAAATAGGAATATTACTTTGCTGTACATACAAGGACTATCAGGAAACACTGTAGCAGTGTGTGAAAGTGCAGGGCACACGGAATATTGCTTTCAATGTTGGAACAAACAAATCTTTTGCAGAGAAGCCTCTAATTGTGGCTGTATGTTTTTCATTTTGCAGTATTTCATAAGGCTACAATCAAGTTACATAAACACTTATGCCTGTGAGATTTGCTTTGCACCACTTATACCATAAAAATTCAAATAAAAAAATCACCTTTCTTGTTAGTTAATTCACAATTCTTCCTATAACTTTTTCTCTGGCAGCAGTTCACAACCCATTCTCTTCCCACAGAGGTTACTCCTGTCATATCTTCCTACGTAACCTCTGTTCTAATACGGCCCTTTCATGGTGTGAGCGTTCAAGACTCGTGATTGGAGACAATCAGATTTAGTTGTGCAATCAGCGACGTTGTTTCAAAAGTGATCATTCGCAAGGCCTCGGTAATTTCCGTATGCTTCGAGAAAACTAAACTTCTTCCCCTGCGCGATGCGCAAACGTTTCTTCTAGACAGAACTCAGTTATGTTATGGCGGATCAGTGGCGTCTCCATCGCCCTCGTTGACAACGGACAAGCTAGCCATTAAACGTCTTGTGTGTAACATCAACACAAGTCCCCGGCAGATGGGGGATATTTGTGGCCCCACATTTGCTTGTGTTAGTCAAGTTGAATCTAAGTCGATGTAACAGGTGTTCTGATTGGATAGAAAGAAGGGAGATAATTCGTGTTGCGATCTTTTGCCGCTAGGGGATTTTACGAGAACCGGGAAATATGGCCGTATTAGAACAGAGGTTACGTAGGAAGATATGACAGGAGTAACCTCTGTGGGAAGAGAATGTTCACAACCAGGTCTTAACATGTTAACTAACCAAACTACAGAAAATACATATTCCCTAAAAATATTGTTACAAGTTAACAAGACAAAAAAGAAGATCAAGAAAACATATTAAGGGGATGACATGATGTAACTCACCATCCTGTTGTAGCGCTCCCCAGCGGCTATATTTGGGTTGGCTGAAAGACACAAACACACCATGAGCCATCTGCCTGGCCTCTTGTCATTGCTGATGTCAAGCATTGTCAGGGATATTCAAAGGTTTTCAGCTTATTTGCATGCTTTGAGCTAAAAGACTTGAGGTAACAAAGGTTTGGTCAACGTGGTACCTTTCTGCACAAAGTACACTTAAATGAGCAGTTAAAAACTATCTAGGACCTAAACCAGAATTCAGGATCAGTATTAAGCAATGATGCATTACCTCAAATTTTCCAGCTCAAAACGCACAAATAGCCCAGACTGTGCTTGACATAAGCAAGATCAGTCTCACAGTTCCCACAGGGTTTGTTTGGAGCATACTGAAGTACTGAAAGCTTACATCTGTGGCACAATCCAGATCATGTTTTATGCCAGCGACTCACAAGTTCACATTCATAGTTTACTTCAGAAAGTTAGTACAGTTTCAATCTCTTGGGTCTGGTCTATTTGCTGTATTTATACCTGTGCAAAGGGTAGTTTCGAAAGGGTAGATATCAGCACTTTCAAGCATGTGTACAATAGTTTGGAAAGGGTACATATCATTAGTTTCAAGCAAATCTACAATAGTTTGGAAAGGGTATATAACATTGGTTTCATGAAAATGAAAAATTCTCTGGGTTTCTTATAATCATAAATCATAAAAACCTGGAAACCAAAAGAATCTGTAAAAAATATTTTCTTTTCAGCTGTCAAAGACTTGATATTGGTGTACTTGTGAAAGCTGACTTCATATCGGTGTACTTTTGAAAGCTGACTTACAGTCAAGCTGATTTCATTTCCTGGGCTTATTCAAGAAAGAGTGATTATACCAGTTATAACAAAGTGTGTCAGCTTTATATGGAAAGACTGAAGTAATGCAAATCTCAGATGTATAACACGTGGGTGAAACCCATGGGCACAAGTATCAACCTGACAAACCTACAAACGGGCTGACAATCACAGGTTTTTGGCCCGGCCAAGGGATGTAACTCTGCATGGAGGATTGTAGTGCCATAGACACTGTTAGACAACTGGGGCACTCATGCTCCTGTCTTATTCCAGACACCTTGCTCCAGGTGTGGTACTGTACTGCCGAAACATTACACATAATGAGGAAGAATCCTTTCATGATAAAACATGTACCTCCTTTAGACAGCAGCAGTTTGAGGCACTTCAGGCTGTTGTTGCTGACGGCAGTGTAGACAACGCTGCGGCCCATGCGGTCACAGGCATCGAGGTTGCTGACCTCATCACCCTCCAACAATGACCTCAACAAGGCAACATTGTCAAACAGCGCCGCCTGGTGGAGCAACTGGCCTGGCCAGCCGTCGTCCGGCATGGCATCTGGGCTGTTATCCTGGCTCATTGCTGGATACAGGTGCTCTGAAAAGAACATGAAACTCATCAGATTATCAACATAAATAAGAGGGACTTCATATCTAATTAAACATGCTATGACAATGTGTCACAAAGTCATATGATGTGGCAACATATTGAATGGTTCCATATCAATGAACAATTGTTCTTATATACTTTATCACATGTTAATGCTCCATGACTACATATATATGTAAAGGTGCGCGGTGGGCGAGCTGGCTAAGGCGCCAGGCTAGTGATCCAGCGAGGTTGAGGTGTCGGGATCGAGCCCACCTGTGACCGGGTGTAAAAACCTTGGAGTCAACTCTGTGTGCAGACTCTTTCAGTGTTGTCACAACCCCTTGTGTAGAGTACACAACCCTGTGCACTTAAAAGAACCCACGAATGCGTTGGTATATGACCAGATGGTGGCCACATGAATACGTGCTTCAACACCTAGTTGCGGGTACAGCAACGTGCAGTGAACTTGGACAAAGTACTGTGACTATGTGTCCCAGTCCACCCAGCTGTGAATGGGTACCTCGTTAGGATGAGAAAGCCAAAATAACTCGGTGCGCCTAGTGGCTGCAAGAGTTGTATACTCCCCAGGGAGTTGAGAGATAATACGATGTGACGTTGAGATTGACATCCAATGATTGAGGGAACAACTACCAGTGCCTTGAGCATGCACTAGTTTCCTGGATATGTGCACTATATAAATATCCAATATAATAATAATAATAATAATAATAATAATAATAATAATATGTATTTGTAAAGGAACAATTATTGTTTTTCTCTGATTGAACATAGAATAACTGATATCAGGCCATTGTCAGCTGAAGTGATTCAAGTTAACTAAATATGTAGATAGGTCTCTTGGCATTGCCTTTGTTTTGATGCTGAACAATAACCATTCACATGCTATTCACATTCATGATGTATTGTGTGCAGAATTTAGCTTTAGTCAACAGGTCTGAAATGCAGAAATTTACCTTACTTGCACAACACACTGAAGAGTCTATATTATAACAGGGGCATTTGAATGACAAAGGCCAAAAATTGAGAGTTCTTAAAATTTTGTAATATTATTTTGCAGGTTTCATTATTATATGAATTACTGTTGAGCAAAGTCATTTGTTGAAACTCAATGGCTGTTTCTAGAGTCTGGACCCCTAGGAAATATTGAATAACAGTTGCACAGGTTTTGGTTCTTTTTACCCAGTTTGCCCAGAATACATGTCATATAGTGATAAATGTTATATAAGAACATCAATCTTCAAAATTGCCTACATTTTCTCCGACCATGATACACCTTGATGAAGAGAGGTTATCCTGTACTAACAGTGTAAGGAGATATGACATGTGTAACACAAGGAATATTGCTCAGAGTGGTACAACAAACACATTTGTAAGCACAAGCTGACTTTCTTACCGATTGTCATACCCACTGTCTCAATTGCTATCCCAAATCTCCGAATAGTAACCATGCACTGTATCACCTAGTAGAAAGACTCTCTCATCCCAGCCTCTTGTTTTGAATCAATGGGGTTCTAATGAGAATCCAAATAGCATGTTTTTCAACAAGGGAGATAGTACTAAGGGCGTACAGCATTATTATTACAACAAATGCAATGTTGTGTATAGATACTAACACTGTCATTGAGCAATTGAGTGTGGTGGCATTTAGTGTTTGCTATCATAACATAGGCGAGTTGCATGGATGGACAACTTCTTCATTACAACAAATGCAACATTTTGGTACAAATTCAAATCAAACACTATTATCGAGCAAGCGATGTGATCAATAAGAAGACAGAAAATTCAAATCGACAAATGCGTGTTTTATATTTATTGTCTGCAGGTAATATTTTATCCATACACATAGACAATTTTATTGCTTCCTGTCAATAATAACATATGCAATATTATAATATTTTTGAGTCAATAAATATCAACAAAATAATTTCCATACAATGACACATCTTTTGTTTTGACAACACTGTCAACATACCAAGACCACAATCACCACTCTCTGCCTGCCACCTATCTCTATGCTGCAACACACCGCAGTTTCAACTCTGAATTGTTGTTGATCTGACCTCATTACAAAAGTCAACCTATAGTGATTCTCATGACAGATGTCAGCTGCCATTGATTACCCTTGTCGTAACTCCTCTGTGAGTTCATTATGTAATTCACTTGCAGAATAATCAATAATTTCTGAATCGGTTCTATTATTACAAGTAAATCTGATAGATTTGATACGGAAAAATCAATCTATGAGTCTGTGGGAGTGTCGTTTTGCAAAAGAATCATATGTTTATTTATCCAGTTGCATTAATTTGCTTATAACTGTGAAACACCATTGTGAAATTAAGTACCATTTTCGCATGCGTGTGCAAAGTTTGTTTTCAATGGCGTTATTTTTAAAGTATGGTAAGTGCGTTTGCTGTATGCCATAGACGTAAAGGGTAGGATGAATGCAAGCCGCATTTACCAGCTGATTACGGTAATATCGTTATATCACTCACATGCAGTTTGTGAAGTGTGACATCAAGATACATTACTACAAACTAAACGAGGCTAAGCCACAAGTCAGGTCACATGCATAAAGCTGAATAGTTGGGAGTCGCGACTAGTGAGTACTAGTGTTGACATCAATGACAAACAGTAGAGGGGCAGTACAACGTAAATTCAACCGAATCGACTTGTGAAGGCAGAACAAAAGGTGCCTACAAACTATCTGAATGCAAACATTTCACATTGGTACTGTTCACTACTCACATGTGTCTACTCCAATCGCCATGATCGTTCCCCTGACATTACTTCCTTGTTCATCCTTTACAGAGGTATGGGAATCCCTAAGTTTCAATTTTAGAACACCGGAAGTGACGACGACAGGGCACCTGATGGGAATTCCCCGTTGAATCGTGACTCGCCACATTTTATTGTCGGAGAACGTTTCATTTTGTTCTTTTTAATCTTTTCGGCAGAAGTTTGAGGCCTTGTCCACATGACAAGCTGACAAGGTAAGGATGTCCTCTGTGGGATGACTCCACGCCTGCTACATCAACACTATTTTTAGTTTATATATACAGAGGGGCATTTATTTACTCAAGAGGAATGACGGAATATTGAGTCAAACATATTTTACGAAGGACATATAATCCGTAATCCTGACTTGGTTACTGTATGTATTACCCGCAATAGATGTCTTTATGCCACGTGTCCAGGGGACGAAACTATAAGTCACTGGCATGGAGATAAATATGCCAGATCGAATGAGTGATTTGGGTTTTACGCTGCTTTTAGCAATATTCCAGCAATATCACGGCGGGGACACCAGGAATGGGCTTCACACTTTGTACCCATTTGGGGAATCGAACCCGGGCCTTCGGCGTGTCGAGTGAACGCCTTAACCACGAGGCTACCCCACCGCCAGACCGAAGAGCAACTGAACGCTATAATGGTCTGATCCTTGAATTATACGATCCCTCGGGAGAAGGAAAATCAATTGCAAAGTCACTGAAAATATGAATCACAGAACTGATAAAGTTCATGAAGTTTGACACAGCTGAACGAAACTGTCAGCCATGGAGATGGAATACAGCATGCGATTGTTTCCGCCTCCTATCATCAGCACGAGACTGTTGCATGAGAAGGGTTAGAAAGAAACCACGTGATACCTCCAGAAGAAGGTAATAACGACAGCAGCTACATGAATACGGCGAAATTCAGCTGTATCTGTGCGCGCACACACACACACACGCACACGCACACGCACGCACGCACACGCAGTGACACACACACACATATATACACGCGGCAAATCATGGATATGCTCCAGCTTCACCTATATATACTAGCCACATAAAGAAACTGTGCATTGTCAAAATATTATCCCAGTTGATAAGTTCGATAACAATGTCAAAGGTACATATAAACTTTAATGGAGGGATCATGAAACCATAACAAGTCGGGAGAATTTTAATTGAAAAGTCAATCACAATGACGTCACGAGTCCACAAGCGGGACAGGGGTCAAACGACCATGTCACAAGCTCAATAACGGGTATGTCCACCATCGGCGTTGAGAACAGCAGTGCATCGACGACGCATAGAGCCTATCAAACGTGCAAGGAAGGCTTGTGGGATGTCACGCCAGATTCTCTCAAGTTCTGTTGCAAGGTCAAGGACGTTATCTGGCGGATGAGGAAGACGGCGTAGACGTCGATCCATCTCGTCCCAAACATGCTCTATCGGGGAGAGATCCGGTGAATTTGCAGGCCAAGGCAGTAAGTCAACGTTGTGGTGTTGCAAGAAATCCATAGCAACCCTTGCCGTATGAGGGCGGGCATTGTCCTGTTGGAAGGTTAACCCAGGGCCATGACGTTGCAGAAAAGGAATTGCCACAGGTCGAAGAATCTGATCCCTGTAGCCCACACCAGTTAAGTTGCCCTGAACAATCACCAAAGGAGTTCTTTGGTGTGCTGTTATTCCACCCCAAATCATCACGGAATCACCACCAAAGCGATTCCTCTCCAAGACACAGGCCTGTGCATAACGTTCTCCCACGCGTCTATAGGCACGTTGACGTCCATCACTATGGGAAACGTTAAACCTGGACTCATCTGTAAAAACAACATTTCTCCACCAAAACAAGGGTGTGCGGACATGATTTCGGCACCACATTCGGCGAGCTTGTCGATGACGTTGTGTCAGGATAGGCCGTATGGCGGGACGTCGTGGTCTGATGCCGTGATGACGTAAACGTTGTCGAACTGTGTTGGGGTGGATACGGCGAAGTCCTGGGGTGGTTCGGGCAGTCATGATCATCACTGCAGTCTGAAACCTGTGGCGAAGATGGGTCACCCTTATCCACCTGTCCAGTCTTGGCGTTGTTACACGTAGACGTCCAGAACGTGGCCGATCGATGACGTCATTTGTGTTCTGGTAGCGTCTCACCCGTGCAGAAATGGTGTTCCGGTGGCAGTGGAAATGTGCAGCCACTTGTCGTTGAGACATTCCCCCACGGACCATCCCAATGGCCTCATGGCGTGCAGACGTGAGCCTTGGCATGCTAAGCGTTTCAAAAGCCGTTTAATTTTTTGAACGATCGCAAGGGCAGGGGTTGAGCTTTCCAAAGTGACATTATTGTGTGGCATTCATTTGCTCTGTTTCTCTTTCCCGGAATGCACGTGCAACAACGTATTGCACGTCTCAAGGACGAACCCACTGACGCCACGGAACGTGACACGTGCATGCATGTTGGATACATGTCACTAATCTCTGAGTTTAAATCCTTATGTGTCTACACAGGTTTGATAAATTTAGATTTTAAATTTTTGTATGCACAGTTTCTTTATGTGCCTAGTATATGTACATTCCGGAATACATTGAGCCCATGCATGAATAAGCCCAAGAGAGCCAGATACCTGGCAGGGATCTGTCTGTGGTGACGTAAGTCTGTCTCACAGTCCCTGAACCACATTATTTTCCCGACTGCTTAGTCCTCTCTGCAATGCTAAAGCCTAAATGGGGCACCTTTTCTGTTTAAATGGGTGTATGTGTTACTATCAATATTATATATTTTCAGGGACTAAGCGTTAGTTTTATGTGGTGACTTCACAGTGCCCATTACCAACATTCTTCCGTTTTACTGGAAGGATCAGGGAATGGCGAATTTAATATATATGGGTAAAATGTGTGAAGCCCATTTCTGGTGTCCCCCGACGTGATGTTACTAAATATTGCTAAAAACGGCGTAAAACCACACTCACCCACTCACTCTCGAGACAACGCAATCTGTTTGACTGAGCTAGAAGTGAAAGTTTCCTGTACGGTTATCAGTAGGCTACGCCACCGCCCCCATCTCGGAAGGTAGGAACACTGGAAGGTCGTTGAGGTCCAGAAAAGATGCTTGCGCTCATGATTTGGCATGCTGTGGATGCTTCTGCTGTGGCAGTTTTCGGGCAAACCGTTTTTACTCCACCTTGCTCTTCAGGGAGCGTCAGGACATGGGCCCTAAGCATATACACACCTGTGCATTAATTAAGCACCACCCTATTTTGAATATAAGATGTGATGCTACAGAGAAGTTAGGGTATAACCATCAATTAATCAACCTGTATTTAAAGAAGCGTTATCCACTGACAGTTTTGCAAATACCATAACCTTTTCTATTCTTTATGAAAGAATATGTTGATGAAAATGTGATGGGACTGAATTTTTACCCAAAATAACTATTCCTCTCCTGCTCAAACTACACAATTAAATTACGTTTTGACTAAAAATAACAATTCTGTTATATACCAAGATGACATTTACACATCGAGTAAGCTTTAATTATGCATAATCAGGAAGAACCCGAATGTCAAAGATTCAGACCTTTTCCCAACAATTCAGATTGCTAATTGACAAAAACTGAAAAAGGCCACATTAATAAGATTTTGGAATAAATTTTTATGATTTTGAGTTTATTGTAATGAATAAGCACTTCTCCTTGTCGGATACAGATAATTGCAGCTAAAATCTGTTTGTTTTGTTTGTAAAGCAAATTTTACTGCATTTTAAAATTTTCCTTTTTCTTAGTTTGACTGTAACTTTTCCTAAATCTTAGTTTACAAACTTTCATCCATTCACAATAAATAACGAATTTATAGGCCACACAACAGTCAATTATTACTTTCACTTTTCAAAATTAGGTAACTTGTTTTAGGACAGAAAAACACATAGTTTAAATATAGGCAATTATCCTAATTAAAATACATGGTAATTTCAATGATGTTTTCGTTTTTTAAATGTTAAATGCTTGTCATGTGTGTGCATGAGACTATGAAATGTGTACACATACAACCGGAAGTGTTTGGTGAAGATGATGACAGCTCAGACAAGCTCCAACATGGACTGAGAACTCTTTCCAACAATGACAAAACAAAGCAGAAGACATACACATTTCAAGAAACATTTCGATAAATTTCTTTACTACAAATATTTTCCACATTAACTTTATCGCATATAAACTACGACAATTATAGAAATATGTATAATTACAGAAACAGTGCACGCCCCAACCCATTTGCGTGTGTGCGTGCGTGTGTGTCAGTATCAACAAGTGACCCATTCGTCTTCGTCTAGTGGCACCGAAAAGTTGTTTCACGTGGGTCCGCCAGAAGTCTGTGATTGTGGGATCGAATCCAAGTTCCCTTACGTTTCTAGGTTTCATCAAAGTCGTTTAGTTGTAGAGCAGCTCCCTGTGCAAAAATATAATCTATTGCGATTTAAAGTTGAACTATTATTCTGACAGGACAATATGTTCATCAATTCCATCCTCGACGTGGTCTGACAATCCTAACCAGTTCCCACATGTCATAGACTGCACCTCCCACAACAAACCTCTGTGACTCCAGTTACGGGCATCCACAGTGTTTCCCCACAGGAATGGTGCTACAAGAAGACACAGACACGCTGATCTACTGTTCATGTTTAATATTTTAACACCACATATAAAGTGTTGTACAAATCAAAAACAACCATATTTATCTCATCATAACAACACACAGTATATCTACATGGCAAAATGTTCAGTGCATGTGACCTTAGGTACTCTAGACTCACGTGCTTGACACCAGTAGCAGTAAGTTTTAAAAAGACGTCGAATTTGGAGCATGAGTGGTCATGTAAAGGTGTATCAACTGAACAACGGATGTTAATGTTGTGCGAGAAGTGTAAGGGGTAAATTTGCATACTATGGTAATAATATGATCATGTTTGCTTAATGTTTTGAAACAAAGCATTTATTATGAATAAACATGACCAGTTGTACGGCATGAAAAATGTTCAATATACAATAGTATTACATGTACACACTAATGAGACCTTGTAATGTGCCTGTCACAGTAAGATATCAAATGCAGTGATCTGCAATAGATAGGGGTTAAATGTCTACTGTGATATAAAGTTCACTAAGTTACAAATACCAGCCAATGGTGATCACTAACACATGTATACATAGTTGTCATCACTACATTGTCACATACCACCTCGGACATTATTGCTTGTATCGTCCGGTTACAGCAGCCAGACGGAGGGAGGGAGAACAGAGGATAGGACAGCTTTTTGGTACGAAGAAAAAAATCATGGATATCAATGCCCATCATGTCCACAAAATATTGCTATAACATATTCAATATAGACCGATAGACCATAACCTTTTCCAAAACATATCATTTGTGTTATCAATAAAAGGCTCGGGGACCCGTTTCACAAAGCAATATCGTTTGTACGTCTAAATTGATCGGGTGGTCAGATAAGATGATTTGGTTGACTGCGTGTCATAGAATACCAGATCCGTGAATCGCCCCTTATGTCAGTCACAGAGTTCCCGTCCATACTCGTTTGTTTACAGACCGCCGTCGTATAACTGGAATATTGCAGAGTGAGGTAATAATCAACAAACAAACGCTAAACAATTGTCAGGTTACTGTTACAGATACAGACACAGCACCACGTGTCCACCTTTTTCGGAATAGTTTTGAGTTATGGCATCTACGGAGGCTCTGTGAAACGGTGCCTTACTTTATAATAATAGTAAATGAATGATTGGGATATAGCCTGAAGGTGAACCATCGGTTTTGACCTTTCACTTAGTTTCTTATAAAATGCTAAACAAGCGGAAAGACACACGTGAAAGTAGACCGATGGGGACTGTTATCGATACACGAGAAAACTTCGATGTTTTGCGTTATATAAACATCAATAAGTTGTCAACGTCCTGTAATCAAAACTAAACCAATTTATACACATTCAAAACGTCCCAAGATGACGCCACTTCGTCTCCTTGCTGTGCAGGTGTACAACACACCTGCATCTGTCATTTCTAGTGGTACACTATAATGGTTCCATCCATGCTCTATGTATGGGTCGTAAAATCCTTGTAGGCAATGAGTGGTTATTTCATGAACTTAAAATGATTTAACCAATAACATGTTTGTAACGGCGATATTTATTTCTTCGTTGCACAATCACGCCGATAGATGTTGATCTCCATGGCATGACATTCTTCGTCTACATGTAACAATGTACTCGCACAACGTCATAGCCTGGATGATTGCCTAGGAAGAAATTGTTGTGACTTTTGATTGCAGCATAATTGTCATTGTCGAATGAAACACCACATCTGGCTCAGTGCCACAGAAGCGTGCATAACAACAATACGAAACATTCTACCAAATACACGGGCAGGCCATGAAGTGATGCAGAAGCAGAAGTTGTATCGAGTCGCACGTCGAAGAAGAAACAATCATCCTTCTCTCTTTGGCTTACTTGGAATCGGCAACTGGTACAGAACTCGTCCCCGTTTGCAAAAAGGTCTCCCATTATCGATCCCTTCAAGATGGCGGTCTTGCAAGCTCTGTACCAGGCATCGCAGAACTCATGACATACCGTTAGTCTCTCTCGGAAGTAGAATATATTCTGATTTGGTGCACATATGTAGCACATTAAATAGTTGGTGTATTTCTGGCATGCCTGTGACGCCCCTCTCAGAGGTTTGACCCTCCCAAACGTCGCATCGATCTCCTCCTGGCCGCAACAACTGTTATCCTTAAACCACGTACAGTTCTTTAACCCTGGCTGGACTTTTGGTGCGCGGTTGTCAAAGAATGAACAAAACTGTTGCGGTTCTTTGTGCATCACAATAATTTGAGAGGTAGCGACTATATGTCTGATCACATTTAGACCAAGCAACGAGAACATTGGTAGCTCCATCTTGAATATTGTCTATCATGATCAGTGGGAATAATCAATAGTCGCCTCGACACCGAGGTTTGCCGGATAGCTCCGAATCATGTTTAATAAACTCGGAGCATCGCATGTATGCACACTATGCCAGAGTGTCGTCAATGTGCACTGTACGGAGCCCATATATACATACACACATCTGCAATCGTCGAACACGGTTGTGACAGATTTACAGAGTTCACAGCACTTAGAAGTATTCTTATGAACACCAGCGTGAATATTTATTGACGGGTAAGTCAGTAACTTCACACGATGAGAGTGGCAAAACAGCTCGTAGAACAAGCATTAGACTCAGCGGTGTGTATTACCGTATATGCCCAGATAAAACTAAAAACATAGGGAAAATATCACATTCACAATATTTCACACCTAAACGATTTATGAACTGGTGAAATAGCCACTGCAGAAATACTACAGTTCAATCTGTTGAATCTTGTGGTATTTCCAGCCGTTTTAGTAACTGTTTCTCAACAGTGTCATGAAAATGATTGTTCGATTTCTACAGCTGTTGATGTTGGTTTCAGTGGCGGATCCAGAGGGGGGGTTCCCCCCCCCCTTTGAAAATTGACTTAAGACCACAGTGAAGATTTTTTGCATTGGCGGAGCTAATGAGGGGTTCAGGGGTTCGCAACACCCCACCCCTTTCTCAAATCAATACCCCTGGATCCGCCCATGGGTTTAGTAATATCAGCGAACATGAAATGATGTAATGTTACGTCTTGACTCTTGGACCCCAGCCTTACTCTCGGCTAATCTAGATTATAACCAAAACATGGTCAGAGATAGTATCTGAAGTCAACACATGTAACGTAGATAGATATAGATAGTACTGTGTGTATATGCCAATACAGCCACACTGATGAATCCAGCACTAGCATTATATATACTGGCTGTTGTTAATCACTATTGTTCAGTGTAAAAATGATGCCTTTTTAATCTTACTAACTTAATTCAGTGTGATTTCTTGTCACTGGTAGTGATGGATTATGAACGTGTTCCAACATCGGCTGGGGATGCCTCAAAGATACAGTCCGGGATGTGGGATCATGTCTGGTGTGGAATCAACGTCTTCATGCTTGTGTTCTTTGTGTTAGCGGCCTATTTCAATGTGAGTGGGCTATATTATATAGATATTGATGTTTTTTATATTTGATTCAAATATTACCGTTAAAAGTGTATGAATACAATTTTTAGTGAAGTGCCCAGTATATCATATTTAACAGTGCAAAACGACTTTCAGAAATATTTTTCACCATGATTTACCGACTCTATAGGAGACCCCATCTGAGCATATTTGGTGCAGTAGTAGTTTATACAGGAAGAAGGAATTGATTAATGTTGAGGTTTGAAGTAGTTCCTGCTATGTGACAACATTTTTATATTTTTGGGTGGGCGAAGGGGTAGCCTAGTGGTTAATGTGTTCGCTCATCACGCTGAAGACCCAGGTTTGATTCCCCAATGTGTGAAGCCCATTTCTGGTGTTCCCCACCATGATATTGATGGAATAATGCTAAAAGCGGCATAAAACTAAACTCACTCACTCACTCATATTTTTGGGATCATGATACCAAGTTTATCGGATTGATTTAATATCAGTAGCATAATAAAGCCTTTATGTAGTAAAATGCATGTGTCTGTTACTAGCTTGCATGATTGCCTACCATTTACTTGTTTTTCAGCTGAATGACAATGACTGGTACCTGTGGGTGGTGAGTGTTGAACCTTGTACTAAAAACATACAGCATTGACACTGTGCTGTTGACATATAGTGTCATGTTGTGTCACATCATGGGCAGTTGGGAAGCTTAGTGGTTAAAGTGTTTGCCTGTCATGACGTGAAACCCATTTCCTGTCTCCGCACCATGATCACTGATGATATTGCTGTAAGCAGTGTACTCACTAACTCACACAGAAAAGATTCCGGCTGAGTGACAGTGGCTAGTGGGTATAGCTTGCATTATACTTGTTCTAGAGGCTGTGTCATATTTGTTACACATATAAAGATTCAACCTCTTCTGTATGGTAGAAAGCCTAGCTGTGATATGCCTTAAACATCTGAAATAGTGAAAAAATTTCTTAGGACATCAGTACCATTAGTTCATAATTTTCCAGAAATTACAGGGTCATTGGTATCAGCAATATAGTTACCTTTCTTGAAAAATCACCTGCTCTTTTAATAATCATTAATCACGGTGGACTCATGATGAAGTAGCAGGCTCCTTTTGTTTTCACCGCTTTGGCCAGAATGTCCTCCACCATTAATGATGTATTTAACCACAGTGTTAAAAAACAAATGTGTGTTTAGGTTTCTGGAATGGAGAAAGAAAAGAATTGTCTGTTTTTTCAGTATAGTTGGTTCCTGTATATTCATGAAAATGTAACAGAATTAGTAACCATGGCAACACTTTTTAATGACACATCAGGGCTCCAGATAACTTTTTGGGGTGCGGGTGTACTTACACGTCATATTGCAAGTGGAGGTGTACTGAGAATTTTGAAGGAGTACTGACATGTTTTTGTGGGAGCGAGTTGGTGATGTGGTTTGTTATTTTTAATATTAAACAACTTTTCAGCTATGAAACTTTATATATGTAAGACTTACAAAGGTATTTACGTGCGTAACTGAAATGTTATATTATGTCAGAATTGATGTTTAGGTACCCTGAAAATCTGTTGCCCTGACATATTACAAGAATTGTATATTTTCAGGCATTATGTGAGCATAATTTATATATATTTTTCTTGACAACCCGTGGTTGGAACCAAAACAATCTTACCAGAATTATTTAGCTATGGCTATAGAATTAGTTAAGATATGCAGAGGCGGATCAAGGAATTTTCAAAGGGGAGGGTTCAGGGGTTCAAACCCACTGAACCCTTCCTTGGCTCCTCCAATGCAAAACTTCAATGTGGTCTTGAGTCATTTTCAAAAGGGGTGGTGGTGGTGTGTGTGTGTTGTGTTGAACCCCTTTGAACCCCTGAACCCCCTGTGGATCCGCCACGGATATGGGTTAAAGTTGTGTTTTTGTTTCAGCCAATATATTGTGTCCCAGCAGTGCTGTGTCTTCCAATCATTGTAAAACCAAAACTGTCAGGTAAGTGTACATTGTTTTATTCATAATTTATGGCTAGAGGGGGTGATGATGATTTTAAGGGGGATCCCCCATTTTGTTCTTGGGAGGTAGGGGGTTAATTTTGTACACATGCACTGGTTGTGGTGGGGGGTTACAGCAGTGGGGGGATCACTTACATTGTACATAAATTTTAGGGGGTTGGGGTGGGGAGTCATTCACATTGTACGTGCTTCTCCATAAAAATCATCATCACTCTCCTATCCATAAATTATGAATTGTCCTTTATTTTCATCAGTTATTTAAATAGTTGACAGTTAGCCATTTTAGTTAGTTGTATTTGTATTATTTCCTATCTAAAAAAGATCGGACACTGGAACAAAATAAGAACATTAAACTATTTCTTGGTTTGGATCAAGCCGGCAATTGGTGGCCTTAATTTAGATACATGTTGTTGTTTTCAGAAAATAAGATAATAGGAAGTGTGTCTGTGGTGCACTTCACGCTGTGTTTAGCTTACTCAGGGTACCAGGTCATCACCATGGTCCAAGTGATTAGCGGTCGCATCCAGAACCCGCTTCAACATGAGGAGGGCAGGTGAGTGGAGCACCTTCATATATACAATAGGAAGGAAAATAGGAAACAATATCATATAGTTTTGGAAACTAGCCACAAAAAATCATTTTTTTATCACTCATGCTATTTTACCACTATTAAGTTAGATAACCTTCTTGGAATTCTACTGTTTAAAGACTGATTATATTGATATATATTGTATGTACGCTGTATGATGTAAAGTGAGATAGTGCAGATAAAAGTATCACAGCATAGAAATTATAGACAGGAAACATTTTACCCTTGAAGAGGTGAATTCATCGGGGCTGAGAAGCAGCTGTGAAATGTTGTTACAAAGAACAAGGAAGTTGCAACTTTTGAATGCCTATATCAGATTTCGAATTGGACCATACTATTTCTGACATTTTATAAAGTAGTATCATGACATGCACACACACACAACATTTTTTAATGAAATTAGATAGCTTTGTTGTTTGTCACTGAAGTTCTCCTCATCATGTTGTCATGGTTGCAGAGAGATGGGAGGTCTGCTGATCATTATTGCATGGTTGGGGATCTGCAGATTCACAGCACTAGGGAGGTATGTGTGTACCATGACACCAAGGCCTTCGGTTAGTCTCATTACAGCTCTTTTTGAGATTGCTTTAACCTGCGGTATATGGCATACATAGAGAATACTACATGAGGTCTCATTACATACGAATTATATGAAACGAGTGTCCTTCCTATGGAAGGACACTCGTTTTGTGTAATTCGAGCAATGAATGACCGAGCGAAAGTGAGGTCAGATACCATAGGAAGGTCACGAGTTTCGTATAATTCATATGTAATGAGACCTCGTCTGGTATTTTATTTATTACCCACGTCTTAAATACATTAAATTGACAAAATAGTGTATTTTTGTTATTGTTATGGTTTCAACCGAAACAGGTTTCACGAAGAGGTTGCGGAGGAATTTTGTTCAGTAGTACACTTTTGCATGATCACACTGTATTGACGTCACTACGCCATTCTAGCCTGCTCCTTTGGTAACCGACGTCACGATGCATGTCAATTGTCATGGCCTCGTACAGCCTCCTATAGTAAACTACTCCGTTGCAACCCTTTTCTTGGTTTGCAGTTGCGTTACTTGGCTAACATCACTGGTGGAAACATTGTGTTTATGTTTTTCGATGGTAATAATGTCTCTGTTCAACTCACAATTAAACAGCGATACCGCAACGTTCGCAATGTTTACATAGTTGTAGAATGAATGAATTCACATGTTTGTTATGAATGAACAAGTAGTTCCGTCACAACGAGACCTAATTGAGAGGTCATCGGTTATCCAATCAAATCGTTAGAATCTCAGGTCAAGTCGTTATGACACAGGTCAACGCGATACGACACTCATGTGACGTACGAGATTAGTATGCAACTACCCATACGTTGACCACGTGGGTAATAAATAAAATTACCTTTGTGGTGTGTAGGTTTGGGTTTAGCCACTTGAACTTAAATGTTGCTGTGACCCCACTTTGTCGTACATTGGTTAATTGCAAGTGTTTATGTGACATTTGATTGGCTTACAAGCCTCTTCTTTTGTATTAATGTTCTCATAAGCTGAAAACAATTAGGTCATGCCATAGAAGATACAATAATTTATTATATGTCTCTGGCCATGCTGCCCACTGTTTCCTGGTTGAAAAGTATTCATAACTTTTTCCCGAAAAACTAGACAATGTGTCTTGAAGGAATCTCCCCATTACCTTAAGTATTTAGGGAAAGACAGAACTTAAACACACTGATTTACAACAAGGTAATCATAATGTTGTATTACCCGGTCATATGTTGAATCAGGGATCCTATTGAACTCTATATATGTGACTATATTCCACAGACCTGACACCACTGCCACGAACCGGTCGCTGATGAATGCTCTGGTCCTGATGTCAGTGACGCTGGCTGTGCTGCCGCTGTTCACCTGGGCTCTGTGTTTTGTTGGGGACTGGCATCAGAAGCTGGGCCACTGCAATGGCATGTTCAGGTCCTAGGATGCTGAGGAGGATCATGATGAGGAGAAGGAGGAGTTGTTTGTTGGATGTAACACTACTCTGAACAGTGCTGCAACTGTATCTGTGTGTGGGGAAGCTAGGACATGTGGGAGGAAACCCTGTAGTGATGCTGGTCTCAGATATTTTCCACACATGATTGTGAGACACCTAAGGGATGTAACTCAGTATGGCAAAATCTGACATATCAGATGACTAGGTCATTGTGACCCCAACTGGTGATCTTGAAGCTGGAGTGAGTGAGTGAGTGAGCTTAGATTTACGCCGCATTCAGCAATATTCCAGCTATATGGCGGCGGTCTGTAAATAATCGAGTCTGGACCAGACAATCCAGTGATCAACAGCATGAGCATCGATCTGCGCAATTGGGAACCAAGTGTGTCAACCAAGTCAGCGAGTCTGACCACCCGATCCCGTTAGTCGCCTCTTACGACAAGCATAGTCGCCTTTTGTGGTAAGCATGGGTTGCTGAAGACCTATTCTACCCCGGATCTTTACGGGTCTCTTGAAGCTGGAGGTGACAGTATATCGGATGAATATATGACCATGAACCTGATAAAATGAGGTCTGGATTGTATATAATTCCACTTCATCAAACAATTCCATTTGGACATGTTTGAGAGTGACCTTCCAGTAAAGTCGGAAAGCTTTAAATTCATACTTTAAATGAGTAAACTACAAAATGGGATTGTGCAAGAAATGGAAATAATTTGTCATGTTGTGTGTAACAACACAATTTCACAACAAACACATTGTTCACTTTACTGTTAAGCTCACATGTTGTATTTAGAGGCAAAACAAGAGGCAAAAATTTGAAATGTTTTAAGGCTGTTTGATGCTACAGTCTTCAGTTTCCATCGATATAACCTGTGATTAATCAACTAAGTGAGTGAGTGAGTGAGAGTTTTATTCTGCAGTCAGCAGTATTCCACCTACATTACACACTACATCATCTTGGTCACAACATGCCAACGTGCGATTCTAATTATGTCAAGCATTTGTACATGATGACATGATCGACCATGATATCTGGAACGCGGAGGATCTATGGGGGGAGGTGATGATCTGATAGTGACAGTGATGGACTGCCATAGTTTACCTCCAACCTCCATGTAGGTCTTCACAGCCAAATTAGCATTCATTGTTACTGAACTGATATCTGTTTATAACACCTTTCTCTGTGACTAAATGCTTGTTAAGCAGTCATTTGTTTGACAATGAAGTGCAAAGAAAGGTTGAAAAAAGTAACATTTTGAAGTTGTGATATCTTTGTCCTGAATAAAAGATGAGGAAATATAAACATGATAAAGAGTGTGATTAGCAAAAGAAGACTTGTGACAACAGTGACACTGAATAACCACGATGGTCACATGATGAGGTTGTTGCCTGTACCTGCTTTATGTGGTTGGATCATCTCAGTAATATTGTTTTTGCTAAGTGTATACTTATTAAGACTATTTTTGTATGACCATAACTGATTCACTGTTGGTAATATGTTCAGAATGTCTACATTGTTTAATTTTAAGGATTGACATATTTTACACCATTAATGTTGAATATGTTAAATTATTCTGATTTTAAAAAAATATGAACTGTCAAAAGCTATAATATTTAGATGTCCACATATTTTCATGAAATATTGTTAATGAGTGTACACAATGTATATTGATGTTCAAACAATGCTCGCAAGATTATTCTTTCAAAACATAAGTCAAATAAGGGTAATTGTCTCTTGCTGAGCTGACAGAAAGTAATCAAATATTGTAGTGTATATAAGGGAAACAATGGCATATGTGCATAATATTCTACAAGACTGCAGTTAGTTCATTTAATGATTCTTTTTCATAGAGATCGTCCTTGGGGTACATATATGCATTTTCTGCGGCTGAAAATGTCATGTGACAGTTGTATCAATGTTTTAATAAAAATATTGTACAATAAATAAAATCTTGTTTATTTATTATACGGCCCCCACCACATGGAGTTACCTCCCTGCTACGCATGCGCAGCCAACCAGGTAAGCACCTAGGACCTATTCATTATTCCTTCTGCTGTCACTCACACGTGTTCAGAGTTACTAGCTGATTTACTTCTCTTGTGAAGAATGTCTGAGACTTCAACAACTGTATGTATGGTCTTTATTCGTTCTTGAAAAAGAAAAAGAACAGTTTTATTGACTTTGCAGTCTGTTATTTATCATTTATGTGACTTTGTATTAAACTTTTACGCTAGCTTTCCCGTGGTTTACGCACATGTTGCTATTCCAGGCTGAAGTTTAGCATGCCATGTGGTTGTCATATTGCGTTATTAACCAAGTATTTCATGTCCCGTGGTCGCATTCACGTAATTTTCAATGTTTTGTACGTGTATATGTATGCTGCTGGTTCCGCCGTTAGCTACATGCTTGCATGTTTGCTTTCAGGCGTTTACAGGGTGTACTGTCTGCGGGCAGAATATCCCGAGAGCCGATAAGCATGACAAATGCTTGTGCTGTTTAGAGAAAGCGGGGCATAACCTTGATGTCTGTGAACTTTGTATGGCCTTTTCCCCCCGGGCCCAGAAGAGACGGGCGGCTGATTTCCTATTCTCTAAGGAATTGCGAGAGGCGGGAGGGGAACTGACCAAGGAGGTTCCCCCGTCCAAAGCCCCAAAAGGCAAACAAGCTAAACCTAGGTCCTCGCATAAGTCGCATTCCCAATCTAGTGGTTTTGACATGTCAATAATCACTGAATTGTTTCAGCAGCATATGGACTCCGTGAAGTCATTTGTTCATGAGTCCGTTGGAGGTCTCCGCCAGGAGTTCCTCGCCCACTCTGAACAGGGGACCGAGAGTCCGGGGGTGGGATCGCCGAGCCCGGCTTGATCCCTTAGCCTTGAGGCGACTGTTGATCCTTTGCCTTTGGCTTCGGGTCCAGATGCCTCGGCTACCCCGGAGAGGCGGGTGGGGGTTTCGCTTCCCAGTGCCCCTCTTGGTGCTGGCGCAGGGTCCGTTGAGGATTCCTGGGGATCCGGTCCCTGCGCCACCCCGCCCCATGAGAGCGGAGGAGTCGGTTCTGCCCGGTCTTCCTCTCGTGTCTTGGGACCAGGGTTCGAGTGTTGTGTCGGTTGCAGGAGCGGGGAGTTCCTTCGGCTCTTCCCTTCCTGCGGCGTCTGTGGCTCGGCCTCCAACCGGGTCAGGGTTCGGCTCCTCTTCACGAGGAGACCCGAATTCTGACTCGGGCTCGGGTGCCAAGTCTATCGACGTTGGGGAGGTCGAGGAGCTGGAGGGCACTTTCCGTTTCTCGTCAGCTCTCCAGGAGGTTAGGCAACGTATTGCCGAGTATATACCCCAAGTATATACCAACATGTCGCTCGGACTCCCCCCCCTGAAGCAGGCATACCGGACTTATGAGGAAGTCTACCGGGAATGCCATGCAGCAGGTGCGGATAGTGGTCCATGAGGCCTACCTTTCCTCTATCCAAAGGTCGGCTCTGGAGGCAGAAAGGGAGAAGTGGGGACGTTTCCCCAAATGTTGGTCTGCTTCACCAATTGTCCGAAGTGCAGGCCCACCTGACGCGAGACTCTTTGCGGTCTGCTGCGTCTATGGTGATGTGCGCAGTCATGGGGATGCGCAAGCTGTGGCTGTATACATCCCGTTATTCGGTAGCGGCACAGCAGACCTTGCTGGCCCTTCCGTTTCAGCTGGGAGCGACGTTGTTTCCGGGGGCACTACAGGTCATTCAGGAGGCTGCTGCAGCAGCTACTTCCTTCAAGGACTCTAAGGCCTTGTTGGAGCAACCGCGGGCTTCTGCTTCCGCTCCCATAGCGGGTTCTTCCTACGGGGCGCAGCTTACGCCCAAGTCTGCCTGCTGGCTTCGGCCGCTGGGCAGAGGTAGGAGGACGAGCCGTCCCGCCAAAGGTAAGGGCAAGGAGCAGTCCTCTTCGACTGGCTCCCATCAGCCTTTTTGCGTTCGCGGGGGTCTGCCCCGACCTCCCATTAAACCTGCAGGATGTCGCCATGGGTTCGTCCCAGTCAGTTGATCTGCAGGTGACCACTCACGCCCTCTTACCACACGTCCCAGTCGGGGGGTGCCTCTCTCTATTCCGCGGATCGGGAGAAGGCTACCAGCAACACTTTGGGTGCTATCCACCGTCAGTGTCGGCCATCTACCACTGTGGAAGCGAGGCCTGCCATTCATCCATCGTTCAAGCAGTACCTCCGGTTCTCTTACGACGGTATGTATTACCAATTCATGGTGCTCCCCTTCGGCATATCCACTGCCCCCAGGGTGTTCACCAAGCTCATGTTAGTGCTGGCTACCCTCGCAAGGTCGCAAGGAAGGCGTTGTTACCCTTACCTAGACGCCTGGTTGCTCAGCGCTCTAACTCAGCCAGCGAGCCTAGATTCTACCCACACAGTGATAGACATTCTAGTTCGACTGGGGTGGATCATAAACCTCAAGAAATCCGACCTGGTACCCACCCAGGACTTGTTTTTTCTCGGGGCGCGGTTCACAACTCACAAGGGTTTTGTCTCTTTGTCGCCCGATCGGGTCACCAGAGTACGGGAGATGGTGTCTTCGTTCCTCTCCCAGCCCCAGGCAGAAAGCGCGGACTTGGCTTCGTCTACTGGGTCATATGGCGGCAACTATCTCTGTAGTGTGGCGGGCGCAGTTGAGGATGCGCCCTATACAGCAAGCTTTGGCGAGTCTGTGGGCTCACTCCGAGGATCTGGAGCAGTGTCTCACAGTCCCCGGGTGATTGTCTCCTCACCTTCAGTGGAGGACCAATGTCGGGAATCTCTCCAAGGGGATCCCTTTGGAAATCCCAACGCCAGCTCTTACAGTTCAAACCGATGCGTCCCTCACGGGCTGGGTGTGTGTGTTCTCGGCAGTCTGTCGGTGTCCGGACTCTGGTCCGAAGCCGAAGCCCACCTTCACATCAACTTCTTGGAACTGAGAGCTGTGTGGTTGGTTTTCGAGGCCTTCCGGGAGCATGTTCAGGGCCAGGTGGTTCGTCTTCATTTGGATAACCGTACGGCCATGACGTACATCCTGAAGCAAGGCGGCACGGTGTCCCTAGCGCTCCTTCGGGAGATGTGGGAATTTTTCCTCTAGTGCGACCAGTGCGACTGTCAGGTGCTTCCTGTTTATCTCCCGGGTCTGGAGAACGTGCGAGCAGACGCTCTCTCTTGCTGGATCCTGGCCCTGCATGAGTGGATGCTCGACCGGCAGATATTCGGAGTTATCTCCCAGTTGTATGGATCGTTCAAGGTGGATCTGTTTGCGTCCGGCAGGACTAATCAGATACCTGTGTTCTGCTCTCGAATACCGGACCAGAGGGCGTTGGCTTCCGACGCCTTCCTGCTGGATTGGACGGGCAAGGTGCTGTGGGCGTTCCTGCCTCTACCACTCATTCCCCGGGTCCTCTCCCAGATGTCCACCCAGCCAGCTCGGCTACTTGTGCTACTGGCACTGCTATGGCCGTCACAGAGCTGGTTTCCAGTAATTCTCAGGTTTCTGGCTCAGCCTCCTGTTCTATTACCTTTGCAACCGGACATTCTCACTCAGAACGGCGCGCTATACCCCAATCCAAGGATTCAGTGGGCCTCTGTCAGGTCTAGCCTCGAAGCACGCGGAATCCCTGCAGCAGTTGCAGACACAATTCTGGCTTCGAGGCGGGATTCAACAACGTTCAATATGAGGATATCTGGTCCCGCTATGCGCGCTGGTGTTCAGATAAGGGGATTGCAGATCCCTTTTCTGTTGATTTAGTCCCAGTATTGGAGTTTTTGCAAGCTCGTTTGGAAGAAAGCTTGGCGGCTTCGACTATTCGTAGCTACTCCACCGCTATTTCCAGACCCCTGTCGATGGTGCTTTTCTGGGACAGCACCCTCTTATGCAGCGCTTTTTAGCTTGCGTGGATCGGGTTCGACCTGCTGTCAGGCGAACCAGCCCACCTTGTCCGTGCTAGATTGGCTGTCAGGTCCTGGGTTGTTCTCAGGTCTATCGGCTATTTCCATTCAGCTGTTAGCATGGAAGGCCGTATTTCTGGTGGCGGTAACATCTGGGCGTAGGGTCGGCGACTTACATGCTATGTCGGCAGACCTGGCCCTGACTGTGTTCCATCCAGATCGTGTCAGTATTCGCCTCCCGGATACTTACCGTCCGAGGATCGATTCACGCTTTCCATGTGACAGCTCCTATCAAACTTCCTACTTTTACCCAGCCTTCCACATCGGGGACCTCTGCAACGAGCACTCACCCATTGGTTGTCCTTAAGACTCTCAAGGTCTATATCAAACGAACACAAGGGATCCATACGGGTACCCATCTGTTCTGCTGTTACGGTGGCGGGAAGGCTGGGATGCCGGCTAGCAAACAGACCCTATCACGCTGGCTTTTGTCGGTCATTTGTGCTGCTTATCAGGCTAAGGGCAAGCCTCCCCCTGAGGTGTTGAAGGCTCACTCGGTCAGGGCAGTGGCCACGTCAAAGGCTTTTGCATCGGCACTACCCATTGAAGAGATATGCTCTGCCGCTATTTGGAGCAGGCCTAGCACTTTTATCAGGCACTATCAGCTCGATACACATTCACGATCGTGCGCGTTTTGGCCGTTCTGTTCTCTCCAGTGGACAGTGTCCTGCCACCCTGACCAAGTGAGTCTTGGTTATCTGGACAGTTGACGCTGCTTTCAATTGTGTATCATTGATATATCCGCTGTTATCATATTTAACTCCTTTCGATTCTCTCCGGAGATTATGGTCGGTTGTGAGTTAGGTTTCCCCTACGGTGCACTTTAATAGTGTCACGATGTGGGCAGGGTTTTATACTTTCGCACTGTGTGCAAATTGCTTTGCTTAACCTATGAGGTCGGATCTTAGTACTTTCCTCCCTGTCGGTTACCCTCCCAGCATGCCTCTCGCGAAAGCTTCGGGACACGTGACAGGTGAGTGTTGTGTCGTCTGTTACATTATTCCTAATGATCGCTATTTCTGTGTACTTTGACAGAATTCCCTCCTCCCTGGCCTCCGGTCTTTGGGAGTCTGAGTTAATGCATATATGTACCCCAAGGACGATCTCTATGAAAAAGAATTAGCTAAACCTGTAGAGGTTTCCAATTCTTTGAAGAATGTCGTCCTTGGGGTAGGGCTGCCCACCTCCCCGCAATTCTGTTCACTGATTATTCAGGATAAGGAATGATGATACAGGCCTAGGTGCTTACCTGGTTGGCTGCGCATGTGTAGCAGGGAGGTAACGCCACGTGGTGGGGACCGTATAATAAATAAAAAAGATTTTATTTAATGTACAATATTTGTATTAAAACATTGATACAACTATCACATGACATTTTCAGCCACAGAAAATGCATATATGTACCCCAAGGACGACTCTCTTCAAAGAATTGGAAACCTCTACAGGTTTAGCTAAGTTTCTGTATGTTTTTCTATTGTGGTTACATTGTGATTTATTCAAGAAATGTTACTTGCCATTTCAAATAAACATAATGAGAGCATTTTTGTTGTAAACACCAGTATTTTGCGTATGTCTACATATAGTCTGCTAGGGATGTGATGATACACAAGTTTCATGAATCGATACGTATCAAGATACCCATGTGACGATTCGATACATATCACGATACCTATTTTTGTGGCATTATTGCGTAAATTTACTTGCATTTTGAACATTAATATTTCATATTTTATAATTGTACATGAAAAGATCAACATTTTTTATTCTCAGAGATTAAAAAGTTCTAATTTCCCATCTTTGTGCATGAAAAATCATCATTTATAACTCTCATAAAATCAAAAAACATGATACAATTGCAAAATGTAAACGATACATAAGCATACTGTATTTAAACCGATACTTTCAAAACTTAATATCGATACAGTTTTGAATGTATCGATAATTGTATCGTCTTAGGAAAAGTATCGATGCATCGATGTATCAATGTATCGTGGCATCCCTATAGTCTGCTGTCTATGATCACCTTATCATGTTGTCACCATATCATTTACACTTGTGTCTGTAGTAAATATTAATAAATATACAATTATAATAATAAATTATATTTTTCCATTTTCTTCTGCCTTGTTTTTGTATGTGTCTTAGATTTCAACAGGAGTGTAATGTTAAAGCTGAGACCACCTATTGCACAGATACTTGGTGTTAAAAAAAGTGAAGTCACCTGTTGCATACAGACACTTAGTTGCAAAGAATGAAGTCATATCTTGTAGAAAGACACATTATAGTAAACATGGTACAGGCTGAAGTCATTTATTGCATACAGAAACATACGAATGAAGTCATCCATTGTACACAGACGCCTGGTGGTAAGGGCTGATGTCATAGGGTGTGTACACAGATTGGATCTCCACTTTACAGGTCCTGGTACCATAAGAAGGATGTTATTGGAATTCCCATTTTCATGGAACGATGCAATTGGCTGGTGGGTCACTGCATGAGGTCTTCACAAGGTTGCACAGTGTGGCCTTTGTGGGACTGAGGTTTTGATAATGGGGTCTTTGAAGGAAACAGGTCAAAAGGGCCAAAGGACAAAGGGCCAAAATTGATATTGATACTGACTGACTGACTGGGTATGGTTTTACACCGTTTTTAGCAATATTCCAGCAATATCACGGCGGGGAACACCAGAAATGTGCTTCACAAATTGTACCCATGTGGGGAATCGAACCCGGGCCTTCGGCGTGACGAGCGAACGCTTTAACCACCGCCCCACATATTGATACAAATATAATAAAACATATAAAATATATATTAGTTTGTATGTTCTTTTGGAATTTGATCTATGGCCCTTTTGACTTTTCGTTGGCCCTTTTGACTTTTCTTTGGCCCTTTTGATTTTTTCAATTTTGGCCCTTTTGTCCTTTGGCGCTTTTTGTTACGACTGTATCATCATGATCAACTGTCAATGTACATGCCCTGAGGCAGATCTGCAGTCAAGTAATAAAACATGTTTGAGTCCCATGGAAATGTGTATTCCAGAATCCCTAAATAAGCCATACACACAAGAATGCTTTCAATGACATAACAGATATTAGTTGACAGGTTATGATTGCAAGTAACAGTATGTTTTATTCAGAGGAAACTGTATTATATATCTTATATATGTATTTAAAAGATCATTTGTTTTAAGGTATTTACGGTACGATGTGGAACCGGAAGTTCAAACAAACTGTGGATTATCTCCCTTATACAAGATGGAGCATGACACGTATTTGTTTTTGTTTACCTGCTCCCGATAATAAGCAACACTCATCGCAAGTATGTCATAGCCCGTTGTTTAATTGAACAGCGTGATTGTGAAAAGAACACACCAGTAAGGTGCTATTGTTGCCATGATTTATGTGACAGAAAATAATTAGATGAGTCAACATTGACAACAAGAAACGCCGGACCAAAAACACCAACCTTTGCCATTCCGATATCAGTGGCACCATTCGATCATCCTATGAAAATATGATCAAGTTCGATATTGTGTTAAACAATAGTGGTACGGCTCTATATAAAGTGTTGCATTTTACCATGTTACATTGGTGATAAGGCATTTGTTTCAAGTGACAAAACAATATGTTTCGTTATTTTGAAAATTCGTACACGAAGTTCTGATCGGAGTTCATGTGTTCCATCTATGATGATTCATATGAAACTTCAATGAGCGGTTTTCTCGTGAGCTTGTCCCTTTTTTGAACGAATAGAAAATGCTGGTGCTACATTCAACATTATGCTTTATTCTATGATTGTACATGCTGGTAACACTAGGTACTTTCTTTGTGTTTTAGGTTGACAATTTCAAGAAATCAAAATTACTTCTGATGTAGAGGTTGCCACACCAGAGCAAAATATCAAAATGTCTTCAGGAAACTGGCCTTACATTCTCAACCTAGGAAACAGCATCATTGGTGTGGCTGTCCTAGCAATGCCCTTCTGTTTCAAGCAGGTATATAAAACATTCTTGTTTCTGTGGTATTTTCAATGTGATTCTCACTGTCATATGCTAATTACCTTTGCAAATTAGTTGTAACAGGAATGTGAATAATTTTCAAACTGTACAGCATTTATTTTTGCCCATTTGTTCAAGGTCTATCTGCAATATCTCCAATGAAACCGGATAATTTGATCCTTCCAATTTATGTTGAAAGTTCCTTCCCTTGCAAAATTACTTACTCAGGAACAGATAATTATCTATTATTGCTGCCCTTCATAGCTTGTAAGATAACTTTCATTCTGTAAACCCTGCTATTGGATTGAACAGAAAAGGGACTTTGCTCAGGTAAATTGCCAAACACAGAAAGTTTATTTCAGTCTTTCAAACTCCACTTTGGCAGTTTTTATTTTGTTGTGAATCAATCGTACATTTAATGATACAAAGATGCACAGAAACACTGTGTCAGTTGTACTTGTGGAACTAGTGACCATGGATCTTATTCATTCCTATATTATAACATCATAATTCTGTAAACCAAAGTAAGATTTAGAAGCTGGACTTATCCACCGTAAATGATTGACATTTGTTTCTTTTCAGTGTGGCATTATACTTGGTATTGTGCTGCTGCTGTTCTGTACATGGCTGACCCTGGTGTCATGTCAGCTTCTGATGAGGGCTGCTGCCGTCAGCAGGAAGAGGTCATATGAGTTTCTTGGTATGGTTGAATTGCTAACCAAAGGTTGAGCTGTTCTAAGCCTGGCAAAACTGCTGGTTTATCCCACTTGATAGATGAGGCTGATGTAGATCAGGCCATTCGAACAGCATATACATAATAATGAATACCCAATCACTGGATTGTCTGGTCCAGATTTTATTATTTACAGATTGATATGTTGGTAAGTGTGGCGTGAAACAGCAAACAATTTGCACTGTGTTACTGCTCATGTGTGGAGACAGTGTCTGGCTTTAAAGGAAGGGTGAGGCTATCGATGTCGATCAAAAAGGTCAATTCTTCCCATCGACTATAATTCAGATTATCAATCTTTTTAGCCAGTCCTAGTAAGGGATACACTTCTGTTTTCAATAATGTTTCCATGGTACCATGCCTAGGGGAAGACTTGCGTATGCCACTAGACAGAGCTGGGTTTTACTTCAATCCTGCATATTTTATGTGATTTAAATAATAAAATACTTCTGTCTGTAAGTTTTGATGATTCATATCTATGCAACATATTTTGAGCAAATGGATGTAATGTGGATATGGTTACTACAAACAAAATTCAAAACACATTAACTGTGGTAGCAGAAAGTGTTTAGTTCTTCATTGTGATGTGCTTCATTCAATGTTTTCTTTTTCTTATCAGTTTTGTGTACAGGTAGGTTAAAAGTTAAAGTTTTCATTCAGTCAGTCAGTGTTGTAAGTGGAGTAATGGTGGACATTGTAGTCGTGGCAACCTGATTGCTTAATTGGTTGTACTTATTTATGAGAAGGGTAACAGTTTTGATGTTAATAATTATGATATATCAGAAGGAGTGTGGGATCAGGGTAAGACCATACTTGTCATAAGAAGTGACTACATTAGATAGTCAGGTTCACCGACTTGGTTGATGCATGTCATCATATGAGATCTGTGCTCATGATGTCAATCAACAGATTGTCTGGTCCAGGCTCAATTATTTACAGACCACCGTCATATAGCTGAAATACTGTGTGAGGTTGAACAGTGAAAACCCCAGGAGTATGACCTAAGTGTGATATGTCTTTTTTTGCAGCATACTACACATTTGGTGCTGCCGGCAAGTTTGTCATTGAAGTCGGGTAAGCTGTCACACACAAAATGTTAATGTATGATAATGATATTGATAATGATATATTATAATTATGAAACCTCCATACCATGTAAGGTTCCATGAGACATGAAGAAAGGACATTAAAATTAACATGTTGTCCCTAATATACGTCATCTAAGTTGGTGACTTAATTACAGTAGGTTCCACATCAATGGCTAGTGGATAGAGAATCTACCTGGAGAGTGTAAGGTCGTTAGTGTAATTACCAGGTGAAATACACAATGCCATTTAGAAAGTGGTCAAATGTAACATATGCTATATTTGGAATTACACTTTCTTTGTAAAGTACAGATTCTAGTACTTTTGTTGGGTTGAGTCCCATCCGGGATTCGAACCCACACCCTCAGAGTCAGGCACCTAATCGCCAGCACACAAAGTCAGACTCCTAGACCGCTCAGCCACCGCGGCTTCCACTGGAAGTGCCTGACTATGAGGGTGTGGGTTCGAATCCTGATGGGACTCAACCCAACAAAAGTACTAGAATCTGTACTTTACAAAGAAAATGTAATCCCAAATATAACATAGACTCTCAAGGTCTATATTAAACTTAACACAAGGGATCCGTGACGGGTACTCATATATGTTCTGCTTAGTGTTATTATGAAACCAGCCAGATTAGCACATGCACGTCACTATATAAGTGCAGTTATCTTGTATTCAACATTTAACGCCATTTCATCTCATCTTACCTCACCTCACTATGGTGAAGTCAGGTCATGTCTGTTCTCTACATCCAGTGGGAGTGGTAGGAAAGGCTTCAAGTGAGTCCTATTTCTGAAGCTAGTGATTCATTACTGCTTCTGTCCACAGCTTGATAGGGCTGCAGATCGGGACACTCATTGCCCAGATTGTGGTCATCGGGGACCTGGGGCCAGCCATTATATCCAAAGTGCTTGGGATAGAGGTAGGTGAAGGTTCATGCTATTAATTCCGATTAATACATCCTCTGCAAACTTTCAAACAAAACATGTAAATTGTTATGGTGTCCAGTTTAACTTGATCCAATGACAATCAAAGTTTGGTGATTGCTACAGTGATGTATTAGATGAAGAAGTTCAAAGCTTTAGTATGGCTGTTACCAAATCAGTCTTTTTGAAGAAGTCCTGCATAAATATAGTTTTGTGAGAATTTGACCATCTGTTTAGTTCCAATCAGTACATGTCATAATTATACCGTAAACAGGTACTGTGTTTCTGAACGAACTTGGGAACTGGACCATTGGCATAAGCGTTCCTCATCTGTGTCAGATGTACAGATTTCATTTGGTCCTGTAAGAAAGATTTAAGATTTTTAGTTAAGGTCATTAACTTGAAATGTTCAGCTGAAGTTTTATCCTTGGTTGATATTCCAGAACACACCTAGCCTGCGCACATACCTAATTGTGTTCCTGTGTCTGTGTGTGGGGCTGCCTCTTGGACTGCTCAAAGACCTCCGCAGCGTCAGCAACGCCAGCACTATCTGCATCTGCTTCTACACTGTCTTTGTCTTCTACGTGAGTAGTGACAGTCTGTGACCTTGGTATTTGCTTGTCGTGTGAGCCGACTCATGAGGATCTGGTGGTCACAAAGATCCTCAACTCATTGTCATCATAGAAATCATCAGCATTGAAAGGTTTTATTCTGATGACTGACTGGCATAAATGCAGAATTACATAATTGCTACCTAATGCTGCTGCTGTATAATGCAGTAATGTATATTTTGCTAAATTTACAAACAGATGGACACACAAACTCAAACCCACAAACACAAACTTACATACAGATGGAAAACTGAATAACTGTTGTCTGGGAGGGGGAATGTTACTTTTCTGTTTCAGTGGTGGGTACCAGCATCTATATGTGTCCTGTCTCTTTTGCATGTTTTGGTGAATTGTACATTTTCACTCATTTTAAGAGTTTGTTTTCATGGTTTCTGGGAAATGTTTTGATGTATTCATTGAGTTTCTGTGATGGGTGACTTTCATCTTCAGCTGTGAAGCATGTTGTACTTTTGTTGCATGTTGCCTGCTGTTTTTCCCTGTCAGGTGTTGAGCCTGTCCAAATCCAACTTGTGGTCTGGAGAGTGGTATTCTTCAGTGTCGTTCTGGAGGCCCGAAGGACTTTTCCAAACTCTGCCAATATTCTCCTTCTCTTTTGGGTGTCAGACGTAAGTATTACTCGTTGACAACTAACTGTATCGTTTGTCCTCAGGTGCTGACATTATCGGGTCCTAACCTGTGGACAGGAAGCTGGTACCATAATGTGGCCTTCTGGAGACCAGAGGGTCTGTTTCAGACTCTACCCATATTCTCTCTGTCATTCGGCTGTCAGACGTGAGTAACAGTGTCTGGTTGTGTGCTAAGCATGAGGACCACTCCCACTTACAAACTCCTTCCCGGCCAGTCTCACCATTGTTAGCTCCCCTAGTGACATTTCAAGTATCTTGAAAATTTTCACCTCTAGCCCCCAACTAGCCCCCTAGAAAAAGCACCCAACTTCTGTTTTGCATTCTCATTAAACTAATTATGCAATAATTATGCAATTGTTGAAATGAAATAGAAATTCAAATTATCAAAACAATTTAAGTGGGAGAAGAGTATGTTGTTTTGTATTTTTTTATTGTTTAAATGCAGACTTGCAGCTTCGTTGAGATTATGTTTTAACTGTTTACTTGATCTGAGTTTCAAGTTTCTTGTCAGTTATTAAGAGATACTGAACCTACTCCAACTTGTTTTTATTTCCTATAAACTATACATTCATTTGGGAATTGACATCAAATGAGACAATTCAAGGAGAGATAAAACTGTTGCAATAGAGTGTCCAGCTTGACCTGGCTCTATTTTCCACAGTGTAACAATGCATAACACAACAGTGTTTTCACTTGGGCGGGGTTGTGTTACAAAGTTGTCACTAGATCAGGCAGTGTTGCACAGTGCTAGAGTGTACCGCTTGACCTGGCTCTATTTTACACAGTGTAACAAAGTTGTCACTAGATCAGGCAGTGTTGCACAGTGCTAGAATGTATGGCTTTGACCTGGCTCTATTTTACCAGAGACCATATAATATTATATGGTCTCTGATTTTACACAGTGTAACAATGCATAACACAACAGTGTTTTCACTTGGGCGGGGTTGTGTTACAAATTTGTAACTAGATCAGGCAGTGTTGCACAGTGCTAGAGTGAACGACTTGACCTGTGCATTGAATGTATTTCCACCATCAAAGTTTATCTGTGTGCTAAATAATGTTGATTGAATGCACGTGGAAGGCTGCTAATTTCGAGGGGAATAATCGCCAAGCGATCTTACGTGCGTTACCAGCATCACCTTAGGTACAGTGACAGTGCTACAATGTTTTCACTTCTTTGGGGTCGTGTAGCAAGGTTACCACTAGATCAGGCTGTGTTACATTTAGTCAGGCTGTGCTACAAAGTTACCTCTAGATCAGGCTGTGTTACACTAGTCAGGTTGTGTTACAAAGTTACCTATAGATCAGGCTGTGTTACACTAGTCAGGCTGTGTTACAAAGTTACCTCTAGATCAGGCTGTGTTACACTTAGTCTGGTTGTGTTACAAAGTTACCTCTAGATCAGGTTGTGTTACACTTGGTCAGGTTGTGTTACAAAGTTACCTCTAGATCAGGCTGTGTTACACTTAGTCAGGCTGTGTTACAAAGTTACCTCTAGATCAGGCTGTGTTACACTTAGTCAGGCTGTGTTACAAAGTTACCTCTAGATCAGGTTGTGTTACACTTAGTCAGGTTGTGTTACAAAGTTACCTCTAGATCAGGTTGTGTTACACTTAGTCAGGCTGTGTTACAAAGTTACCTCTAGATCAGGTTGTGTTACACTTAGTCAGGCTGTGTTACAAAGTTACCTCTAGATCAGGCTATGTTACACTAGTCAGGCTGTGTTACAAAGTTACCTCTAGATCAGGTTGTGTTACACTAGTCAGGCTGTGTTACAAAGTTACCTCTAGATCAGGCTGTGTTACACTTAGTCAGGCTGTGTTACAAAGTTACCTCTAGATCAGGCTGTGTTACACTTAGTCAGGCTGTGTTACAAAGTTACCTCTAGATCAGGTTGTGTTACACTTAGTCAGGCTGTGTTACAAAGTTACCTCTAGATCAGGCTGTGTTACACTAGTCAGGCTGTGTTACAAAGTTACCTCTAGATCAGGCTGTGTTACAAAGTTACCTCTAGATCAGGTTGTGTTACACGAGTCAGGCTGTGTTACAAAGTTACCTCTAGATCAGGTTGTCTTACATTTAGTCAGGCTGTGTTACAAAGTTACCTCTAGATCAGGCTGTGTTACACTTAGTCAGGCTGTGTTACAAAGTTACCTCTAGATCAGGCTGTGTTACACTAGTCAGGCTGTGTTACAAAGTTACCTCTAGATCAGGTTGTGTTACACTAGTCAGGCTGTGTTACAAAGTTACCTCTAGATCAGGTTGTGTTACACTTAGTCAGGCTGTGTTACAAAGTTACCTCTAGATCAGGTTGTGTTACACTAGTCAGGCTGTGTTACAAAGTTACCTCTAGATCAGGTTGTGTAACACTTAGTCAGGCTGTGTTACAAAGTTACCTCTAGATCAGGCTGTGTTACACTAGTCAGGTTGTGTTACAAAGTTACCTCTAGATCAGGCTGTGTTACACTAGTCAGGCTGTGTTACAAAGTTACCTCTAGATCAGGCTGTGTTACACTAGTCAGGCTGTGTTACAAAGTTACCTCTAGATCAGGTACAGGGCAACAATGTTTACACTTGATCAGTACTAACTGTCAGCACATTTCTTGCTTGTTGCAGTCAGCTGTTTCTCCTGTATGACGCCCTGCCAGAACCAACACTCAAGTCCATCAATGGGGTCACCAGCAGTGCTGTCAACCTCTGTGCAGTGGCCTATTTATTGGTAGGAACAGGAGTCTTGTGCTGTACCAGATTTTAAAAATACAGTCTTTATCTATATCCCCACACAAATGTCTGACATCAATCATGTTAGTTCGCTGTTGGATATCAGGATATGGAAGCAGGACCTAAACTTATTGAATAGCTTCAATTACATGGCATGAATATATAGGTTTAACTGATACCAATACTTGTAGTTTTGTATGGCTATAATAATGTGATGTCATGTCTTTTCAGAATTCTATCAGGGTTGATTGGGTAATCATTTGAAAATCTTATCCAAAAATGTTTCACTATAAATTTTGTTTGTTTGAGATCTTCCTATCTTTGTAGATGTTATTTATTGCAGATGAGCCTATTATTACATAATTATTTGTTCCACAGGTCGGTTTCTTTGGCTACATTGCCTTCTATGACAAAGACATCGGTGGTGACATCATCACTCTGTTCCCTTCCACGTTTTTCGCGGACATGATGAAGCTGCTGTTTGTGGTCTCCATTGCCGTCACCTTCCCCCTGATTATCTTTCCCTGCAGAGCTAGCCTCTACACGCTGCTGTTCCCCCAGGTAGGATTACCGCCTCTTGTCAGACAATACCTTCCTTGTTAACTGCTGAAATAATGGCATGAAATCATCCTGAGGTCATTTACCTAAAGATTTACCCAGGTAGTTTGGGCAGAATAGTCCTCCCATGATTTTGTGCTTGTTACAGATAGCTAGAGGATGTCAACTCTCTGTATTCAGGGTATCTTAAGATTTTCTGGGGGATTTGGGCAGTAACATTTCTCCTTTCATGGATCACCATTGTGGTGTTATTACAGTTGTAAGTCCATGTCCTAGAAATAGTGAGTGAGTGAGTTTAGTTGTATGCTGCTATTAGCACGGCAACTGACACTAGAAATGGACTTCACACATTGTACCCTTGTAGGAAATCAAACCCTGGTTTTCGGCATGACAAGTAAGCACTTTAAACACTAGGCGACCCCATAGAAATAGAGTTCAAATCGTTGCAGACTGCATTTGCTTTTGGGGTTAATTTGACCCTGATCATGTAGATGATTATATCCTGATGGAGAGATTATGTACGATGTCCTTATGTAAGACCTCTGGTGTATGATTACTTAGATAAGCTGCAGTGATTCTTCCTGTAATACATGTTTACACCAACACTCTGTGGCAATGGGGCTGACATTCTTTTTCAGAAGAAGTCCTCCTTGGGGTACATATAAGCATTTAAATGTCCATTTTAAATCCTACGACAGTTGTAACTATATTTTTCAATAAAATATTTACAAAACAACAAACTCGTTTTGTCTTGTGAGACCACCCCTACAGGGCCCCATCGGACCCCCTACAGCCAAGAGCAGGTAACTCTCGCCGTCTACCTCGTACCTCACTTTTCATGCTGTCGTTCTGTTGAATAGATGTGCGTGGTGTTCGGTTCGAGTTTGCTCTCCTACCGATACGATGAGTGTAAAAGAGTCTCAATCTGTATGTATGGTTCCTTTCTTTACGCACAGGCGTCAGATGGACTTCATATGTTGATATTCTCATTCATCTTTTGTTGTAACTTTGCCTTGGGTTCTCTGTTTTCCAGCCTTTTGGCAGGCAAAATGGCGGACCGCGCGATCGTGGTTTCCTTGCTACATGTTCTTGGTAGCTTGTAGTAGGGAGTTCATATATTATGTTTGCATATTATATGGTAGGCTTGCCTAAATTCTCTCTCTTTCAGCGAATTTGGTGGTAAGTCGTTGTTGAGTAATTTTGATAGTGTTCGTTTCGTAGCACTCAACTATACTGACTAGTATCAGGGATAATCTACAACATATAGTTATATAGTCTCCCTGCTAGTATGTACACGCGGGTGCTGCTAGCCTTTTTCTGCTTTGCATTGTATGTTTAGTATTTAAATGGCTGTAGCTTGTAGCATTTAAATGTCGCCTGTGCGTTTTATTTATTTGCTATTTACTTGTGTTTATATGTTTGCTGCTTCACAGTTCCTGCTTGTAACACTGGCATGGTTCTGTTTGTTGCAGTTTAAGCCCTGTGCGTTGTGCTGTGCACACTGCCGCCACAGGATGGTCATAAGGTGTGCCTCCGGTGTTTAGCCGAGGACGCTCACGACGCTCAAGGATGTTCATAATAAGCGCCCATTCTCATCTGAGAGCTGAACAAGTTAATAGAGGTACTGTCCTTCAAGATGGAGACACCGCGCTCGGTGATCTCATCTGTCGAGACAGGGGATTGGCACACGTCAATCGACCTCGAAGTCGCGTACCTCCTTGTTCCATTGCACCGTTTCAAGATTTACTTTCGGTTCTTATTCGGGACGGGACGTGCTACCAGTTTCGTGTGCTCCCCTTAGGTCACATTATGGCGCCAAGGGTGTTCACCAAATTGAGGTTTATTGCAGCCCAGATAGCCAGATCGCAGTGCCGGTGTTTTCACCCGTACCTACGCGACTGGCTCATCGTGGTTTTGGAATAACTGTTGAGTCTGGGAAACTCACGATCACTGTTGGTCACTCTTACGAAACTGGTCCGAATTGTCATCCTCACGCAGTCAGATGGAAAGACGTCAGGTGTCTCGCCGAGGGGCTCCCCCTGGAGACACCGTCGCTCTCAGTCCAGCAAGATACATCCCTACCGGGTTGGAGCGATGTTCTGGGCGACCTGCGGTCTCTTGATGACGAAGTCACAACCTGCACATCAATGTGCCGGAATTGACAGCAGTCAGGTTGGTGTTTGATCCCGCACACCGGGATTCGAATTACCTTTTCGGCCAGACATTCTCACTCTGAACGGGGCACCACACCCGAATCCTCGGATTCAATGGGTGGCTTGGCCTCTGTCGGGTCTAACCCCCAGACAAGCGGAATTCCTGCAACCGTTGCAGACACAATTCTGGCTTCAAGGCGGGATTCCACACCCGTTCAGTGTGTTGATAGGTGGGGCGCGCTGGTGTGCAGATATAGGGGGATTTCATAATCCCTATTCTGCGGATTTAGTTCGGATATTGGAGTTACTATAACCTTGTTTTGGTTGAGAGCCTTATGACCTCCACCATTCCCGGGTACTCCATGGCTATTTCCACGTTTCACACCTCGTTTGATGGTGCTCTGCCTAGGCAGCAACCTCTCATACAGCGATTCGTAGCTGGCATGAACAGGGTTCGACCGCCTCGGCCGCGACCCAGCCCACTTTAAAATTGCCAATTATTCTCAATTGGCTGTCTGGCCCTGGTGAGCTCTGGTAGAAGGGTCGGGTACATCCATGCGATACCCACTGACCCGACACTGACAGTATTTTATACTGATCATGTCCGTATTCACCTCCCGGATACCTACCACTCTCAGTTCGATATTGCTTCCACGTGACTGCTCATATCGAACTTCCACCCCTTGCCCAGCCTTCCACACCAGGGGGAGCGGTGGGGTAGCCTAATGGTTAAAGCGTCGGCTCGTCACGCTGACGACCCGGGTTCGATTCCCCACATGGGCACAATGTGTGAAGTCCATTTATGGTGTCCCCCGCCGTGATATTGCTGGAATATTGCTAGAACCGGCGTAAAACCCAACTCACTCACTCACTCCACACCAGGGACCAATCTTTCGATTGCTCAACCGTGACTGTAACGAACGAACGAAAGGGATCTGTACGGGTACCCATGTGTTCTGTTTGGTGGCGGGAAGACTGGGGAGTCTGCTAGCAAGCGGACTTTATCTCGTTGACTTGTTTCCGTAATTGTTCGGTTACCGTGCTAAGGTTTACCTTCCCCCGTGGGGTTGAAGGCAGACTGGGTAGGGCAGATGCCGCTTTGTTGGCAATACACAGCGGCACTGCTCAATGAAGAGATCGGTTCTGTCGCTCTTTGGAGCCGGCAGAATGCCTTCATTCGTCATTACCGACTTGACACGCATTCTAAGGATCGTGCTCGGTTTGGTCTTTTGGTTCTCTCCAGTGGAGAGTGTCCTGCCACCCTGACCAAGTTAGTAACTGGTCATTGGTATCGGTTCTGAGTTCAATGTCGATATGGTTCATATCACTACATCGTAAAAGCCTTACCACCCTTTCGGGTTGGGTCGGGTTTGGGTGTACATACGTCCCTTACGTCCTCTTCACTTAAAGGCAAGAGGGCGGGGCTGGTTTTGAACGCTTTAACCAGTCATATGCTATTAACCCGTCTTACGACGGAATTGGGTACAAACACCCCACGGGTCACTGTTTCGTATGCCTCTCTTCGAGCAGCATGTCACGTAACCAGGTTAGTGCAATGGTGAGCCAACACATGTTCGGCTACGCTTTTCGCTATTCAGGGGATTTGTGTACGCTAACAGTTTTTTCCCTCTTCCTGAGACTTCGCTATTTGGGAGTCTGTGTTAATCAGCACTTTGTGGGATGGTGGTCTACACTTACCCACCTCATGCCGAGAGTGTTTGGTGGGGGTGTTTTATCCTGTTTTTCACTCGTACATTGCATGGCGTTTGTACTCGTTCGATTTCCTCAGAAAGTTTTTAGGGAGGCTAATAATTTCTCTGGGTTTTATCGAGGTCCCGGTGAGCCCTCTTCCAAACAGCAGGGGTGCATTCGAGCGTTAGTTTGCAGTAGTTATTAGCTCGACTGCTGGGTTATTGGCTTTTAAGCATATAATTTTTTACGCTTTCCCTAGTTGTTTCGGCAGTTCCCCATACATTCCTTTCCACTGTAATGGTTGGGGGTGGGGTTTTATGTCATAATTGATTTAAGCCAATTGACGTATAAGCTTGGGCTCTCTATTTCCCGCCCTAGCCACGCCCCCGCCTGATTGACATCAGCGGTCAGGTGGCTCGGTAACTGTGTTTTTTTCTATTTCAATATCAGTTGTAGATTTCACTCCACCACGGGTTTAGTTGTTGCCAGACAGAATGCCACTCCAGTCTCTAATATCTTTGGGAGTCTGTCGTATGCTTACCGGTATATGTACCCCAAGGAGGACTTCTTCTGAAAAAGAATTATACAAACCTGTAGAGGTTATGAATTCTTTGAAGAAAGTCCTCCTTGAGGTATGGCCACCCGCCTCCCCTCATTCTGTCTGACACGTTCAGCATGAAAACTGAGGTACGAGGTAGACGGCGAGAGTTACCTGCTCTTGGCTGTAGGGGGTCCGGTGGGGCCCTGTAGGAGTGGTCTTACAAGACAAAACGAGTTTTTAGTATTGTAAATATTTTATATAAAATGGACATTTAAATGCTTATATGTACCCCAAGGAGGACTTTCTTCAAAGAATTCATAACCTCTACAGGTTTGTATAAGTTTAATAGTAAATATCTTTAAATGTAACTGACAGGCAGGCCTCAGTACGAAATTGTTCTCCAAAGACAATTTTAATGGTTTGGTTACAGCAGAAACAGAAGGCCTATGAAGATATTCAAGAGGAGAACCGCATGCCAGAGATCCACTTCAAGTTCATCACTGTCTCCATCGTCATCTGCTCCATGATCACCGGCATCCTTGTGCCCAATGGTCAGACATTTAAACACTTTAGATATGTCATATATAATGGCCACACCTATTTTCTGTTATGCAGTTAAACGCTAGTTAAATGAAGCCAGACTGACCAACTGCAATGGAATAAGAAGATCGTTAATTGTGCATCTAAGCTTGAAAAATGTGTATACTTTTTGAACTCGCTAACCAGAAGGGCATGACCCAATATAGATGTATCTTCTTGGTTGACTGGGGCTTATTCATACAGAAGATGTTTCTGGTATTCTGTTCGGACCTTCAAGAAGATCAAAAGAAGGTGGTGCCCGTTTTCATTAAGTCTCGAGAGGCACATGCCCCAACTTGTGATATGCGAGACGGTGCCCAGCTTACTTCTGGTACAAGATTTCTGGTGACAAGCGTCTATTCAAGAACCAGTTCTGGTTCCAAATTGCGCGACCGCCCAATATGACTTTACTAGACTGGCTGTCACAGCTGTTGACCATCGTAATAGTTGGCTAATTTGGGTATGGTTAGTTCGGAAATTTGTTATATCTGCAAGGATTATCGGTTCTTTACTATCAACTGACAACCATGAGACCAATCGAAAAGGTATGAACGTTCTTTGTCACTGGAAGTGCTAAGGTCTAGCAAAGTGCTATGACCAACTTTTGGGCCCTATAGTATGAGTCCGGATAAGGAAAAATGTTTGTTTTTAAGAGTAAATATATTATTTTTTATAGTCATCCTGACTTATACTACAGTACCACCTCCCCAATCATCCCCTCTCTCCTCTAATTTCTGTTATGATTCGGAAAATACAAAAATGGAGAGAGTGATCCAGCTGATCACGTGAGAAGCTAATGTGCATGTGCAGTGGTGGGGTGTGTTTGAGTGAGATGTTTTTACTGTTCTTGGGGTACATAACACAGAATGTTTCAATTGTCTTTCGGATTAAAGGAGAGAAAAGCGAATACTGTACATGTAGTATAAATCAGGATAAGTATAAAATATTTTGTTGTACTCTAAAAAAAAAAAATTAAACTACAACAATAGCTGGAACTGGGGTGTGTTTGTGCAAAGTGTTACAAGATGCTGAAAACTTTTTTTTCAGGTCAATTCCACTCAACCCTTTAAAGAACAATTGTGGGTGCATAACATGGGACAGTATAAGCATCTTATCTGTATAATTTATTGTTAAAATTTTCAGTTCAGTTGTAAACATGTACATGCCTGTGTTTCTTCTTGCAGTTGAGTTTATCCTGGGGATGAATGGTGCCACAATGGGGACACTTATCTGCTACATCTTCCCAGCTCTGTTTTTCGTCCGTGTCATGGCAAACAAGGCAGAGGGCAAACACATAGCACAGGTGTGTATTCTCTCATACTGGTCTTTGCAGATGCTTACACATTCCTTGTTATTATATTACTGGAATAAAGTAACTGTGCATTATTTGATGTTATGCCATTTATTTAATGTAAAAAAAAAAGATAATAACATAATACTGTAAACGTATTATATTTCGCACAGGTTTTATTTTCGCGCTTTTCGCGCAAAACATTTTAGCGCGAAAATTTATACACCGCGAATAAACCTGTCATTCATTCAGTCTAGCCAAGCTCGCCCCTGAGTTGTTACCTACGGGAATCTTAAAATGACTGATAGTAGCATAAAGAATCATACTTAACTGTCGCCGTAATGTATTTCCCAAAACATAATTAAATAATGAGCCAAATCCCATCGCCGAATTAGCGAAAACAGCAATGTGTGTTGTGGCCGCTATGGAAATTGGTCACATGACAGATGGTTTGATACAAAACAGATTAACATGAAACGAATCGGGAAGAAATAATACAGCAGTATTTTATTTATTCATTACTGTGTACTAGTATATCGCACAGATAGGGATTTCCTGTGAGTATGCAATAAACGCCGCCTGACAGGTTAAGCCACTCTGTTTGTTTTCACTGCTATTAGTGTTGGCCAAAGAGACAGCTGGCAGTTCCGGCAATTACTGATTGCGCGAATAATTGACCGCGCGATGTAGTCTAAACTGTCAATTCCGCGAAAATTGCACCACGCGAAAATAAGTACGTTTACAGTATGTGGTGTTTTCCTTAATCACTGTTTAACTGTTGACAGGATAATATCGAAATCTGTATTATTTGACACCAGGCATCGTGACACGCCTTGAAGAAATGTGGTGTCAAAAGTCAGTTCACAAATTCAGTGTCGTGTGTGTCTACTGCTGGCGTTGATGCAGGCTTGACAACGACGGTGCATTTGCGACACAAAGTTGTTTATGTTACAACTGGTGATAGATATGTTATGTATGTCCATGTTAACCGAGTTGTTTATGTTACAGCTGGTGATAGATATGTTATGTATGTCCATGTTAACCGAGTTATGTTACAGGTGGTGATAGATATGTTATGTATGTCCATGTTAACCGAAGTTATGTTACAGCTGGTGATAGATATGTTATGTTTGTCCATGTTAACCGAGTTATGTTACAGGTAGTGATAGATATGTTATGTATGTCCATGTTAACCGAGTTGTTTATGTTACAGCTGGTGATAGATATGTTATGTATGTCCATGTTAACCGAGTTGTTTATGTTACAGCTGGTGGTAGATATGTTGTGTATGTCCATGTGAACCGAGTTGTTTATGTTACAGGTGGTGATAGATATGTTATGTATGTCCATGTTAACCGAGTTGTTTATGTTACAGCTGGTGATAGATATGTTATGTATGTCCATGTGAACCGAGTTGTTTATGTTACAGCTGGTGATAGATATGTTATGTATGTCCATGTTAACCGAGTTGTTTATGTTACAGCTGGTGATAGATATGTTATGTATGTCCATGTTAACCGAAGTTGTTTATGTTACAGCTGGTGATAGATATGTTATGTATGTCAATGGTAACCGAAGTTGTTTATGTTACAGGTGGTGATAGATATGTTATGTATGTCCATGTTAACCGAAGTTGTTTATGTTACAGCTGGTGGTAGATATGTTATGTATGTCAATGGTAACCGAAGTTGTTTATGTTACAGGTGGTGATAGATATGTTATGTATGTCCATGTTAACCGAAAGTTATGTTTACAGCTGGTGATAGATATGTTATGTATGTCCATGTTAACCGAAGTTGTTTATGTTACAGCTGGTGATAGATATGTTGTGTATGTCCATGTTAACCGAAAGTTGTTTATGTTACAGGTGGTGATAGATATGTTGTGTATGTCCATGTTAACCGAAAGTTGTTTATGTTACAGGTGGTGATAGATATGTTATGTATGTCCATGTTAACCGAAGTTGTTTATGTTACAGCTGGTGGTAGATATGTTATGTATGTCCATGTTAACCGAAAGTTGTTTATGTTACAGGTGGTGATAGATATGTTATGTATGTCCATGTTAACCGAAGTTATGTTACAGCTGGTGATAGATATGTTATGTATGTCCATGTGAACCGAAGTTGTTTATGTTACAGGTGGTGATAGATATGTTGTGTATGTCCATGTTAACCGAAGTTGTTTATGTTACAGGTGGTGATAGATATGTTGTGTATGTCCATGTTAACCGAAAGTTGTTTATGTTACAGCTGGTGGTAGATATGTTATGTATGTCCATGTTAACCGAAAGTTGTTTATGTTACAGCTGGTGATAGATATGTTATGTATGTCAATGGTAACCGAAGTTGTTTATGTTACAGGTGGTGATAGATATGTTATGTATGTCCATGTTAACCGAAAGTTGTTTATGTTACAGCTGGTGATAGATATGTTATGTATGTCCATGTTAACCGAGTTGTTTATGTTACAGGTGGTGATAGATATGTTATGTATGTCCATGTGAACCGAGTTGTTTATGTTACAGGTGGTGATAGATATGTTATGTATGTCCATGTTAACCGAAGTTGTTTATGTTACAGCTGGTGATAGATATGTTATGTATGTCCATGTGAACCGAAGTTGTTTATGTTACAGGTGGTGATAGATATGTTATGTATGTCCATGTTAACCGAAGTTGTTTATGTTACAGGTGGTGATAGATATGTTATGTATGTCCATGGTAACCGAGATGTTTATGTTACAGATGGTGATAGATATGTTATGTATGTCCATGTTAACCGAAAGTTGTTTATGTTACAGGTGGTGATAGATATGTTATGTATGTCCATGTTAACCGAATTTTATGTTACAGCTGGTGATAGATATGTTATGTATGTCCATGTGAACCGAGTTGTTTATGTTACAGCTGGTGATAGATATGTTATGTATGTCCATGTTAACCGAAGTTGTTTATGTTACAGCTGGTGATAGATATGTTATGTATGTCCATGTTAACCGAGTTGTTTATGTTACAGGTGGTGATAGATATGTTATGTATGTCCATGTTAACCGAAAGTTGTTTATGTTACAGCTGGTGATAGATATGTTGTTATGTATTGTCCATGTTAACCGAAGTTGTTTATGTTACAGGTAGTGATAGATATGTTATGTATGTCCATGTTAACCGAAGTTATGTTACAGCTGGTGATAGATATGTTATGTATGTCCATGTTAACCGAGTTTATGTTACAGCTGGTGGTAGATATGTTAAGCTATGTATGTCCATGTTAACCGAAAGTTGTTTATGTTACAGGTGGTGATAGATATGTTATGTATGTCCATGTTAACCGAAGTTGTTTATGTTACAGCTGGTGATAGATATGTTATGTATGTCCATGTTAACCGAAAGTTGTTTATGTTACAGGTGGTGATAGATATGTTATGTATGTCCATGTTAACCGAGTTGTTTATGTTACAGATGGTGATAGATATGTTATGTATGTCCATGTTAACCGAGTTGTTTATGTTACAGGTGGTGATAGATATGTTATGTATGTCCATGTTAACCGAGTTGTTTATGTTACAGGTGGTGATAGATATGTTATGTATGTCCATGTTAACCGAAAGTTGTTTATGTTACAGGTGGTGATAGATATGTTATGTATGTCCATGTTAACCGAAGTTATGTTACAGGTGGTGATAGATATGTTATGTTTGTCCATGTTAACCGAAGTTGTTTATGTTACAGGTGGTGATAGATATGTTATGTATGTCCATGTTAACCGAAAGTTGTTTATGTTACAGGTGGTGATAGATATGTTATGTATGTCCATGTGAACCGAAAGTTGTTTATGTTACAGGTGGTGATAGATATGTTATGTATGTCCATGTGAACCGAAAGTTGTTTATGTTACAGGTGGTGATAGATATGTTATGTATGTCCATGTTAACCGAGTTGTTTATGTTACAGATGGTGATAGATATGTTATGTATGTCCATGTTAACCGAAAGTTGTTTATGTTACAGCTGGTGATGATAGATATGTTATGTATGTCCATGTGAACCGAGTTGTTTATGTTACAGGTGGTGATAGATATGTTATGTATGTCCATGTTAACCGAGTTGTTTATGTTACAGGTGGTGATAGATATGTTATGTATGTCCATGTGAACCGAGTTGTTTATGTTACAGGTGGTGATAGATATGTTATGTATGTCCATGTTAACCGAAAGTTGTTTATGTTACAGGTGGTGATAGATATGTTATGTATGTCCATGTTAACCGAAAGTTGTTTATGTTACAGCTGGTGATAGATATGTTATGTAGTGTATGTCCATGTGAACCGAAGTTGTTTATGTTACAGGTGGTGATAGATATGTTATGTATGTCCATGTTAACGAGTTATGTTGTTACAGGTGGTGATAGATATGTTATGTATGTCCATGGTAACCGAAGTTGTTTATGTTACAGGTGGTGATAGATATGTTATGTATGTCCATGTTAACCGAGTTGTTTATGTTACAGGTGGTGATAGATATGTTATGTATGTCCATGTTAACCGAGTTGTTTATGTTACAGGTGGTGATAGATATGTTATGTATGTCCATGTTAACCGAGTTGTTTATGTTACAGCTGGTGATAGATATGTTATGTATGTCCATGTGAACCGAGTTGTTTATGTTACAGCTGGTGATAGATATGTTATGTATGTCCATGTTAACCGAGTTGTTTATGTTACAGCTGGTGATAGATATGTTATGTGTATGTCCATGTGAACCGAAGTTGTTTATGTTACAGGTGGTGATAGATATGTTATGTATGTCCATGTGAACCAAGTTGTTTATGTTACAGGTGGTGATACATATGTTATGTATGTCCATGTTAACCGAAAGTTTATGTTACAGGTGGTGATAGATATGTTATGTATGTCCATGGTAACCGAGTTGTTTATGTTACAGGTGGTGATAGATATGTTGTGTATGTCCATGTTAACCGAGTTGTTTATGTTACAGGTGGTGATAGATATGTTAT